AAGCCCGAGCAAGCAACTGTCCCTCCTCACATCTTCGCTAAGCGCAGCATTTTCGGTGGCTTTTGGGTGAGCTTCTGTATCGGTGCCCATCAGACACTGTTGATCTACTTCCTCCCTGCCTGGTTCCAGGTCATCAACGGAGATTCTGCCATGAACAGTGGTATCCATCTCTTGGCTATGGTACTCGCTCTTGTTGTTGGCTCCATCATCAGCGGTGTTCTCACCTCTCGTATTGGATATTATATGCCGTTCCTCATTGCCGGAATCTGCATCTCCTCCATCGGCGCTGGCCTTTTTACTATCCTTGGCACCAATGCTTCAGAAGGCCAATGGATTGGATATCAGATTGTATATGGATTTGGTCTTGGTGCCTGTTCCCAGGCTCCCAACATGGCTGCCCAGACTGTGCTTCCACGCAACCAGGTATCGATTGGTGCTTCACTCGTCATATTTGCCCAAACACTCTCTGGTGCCATTTTCGTTTCTGTTGGCACCAACGTGCTCGATGGAGAATTGGCCAAGCGTCTTTCTGCCTTCACAAGCGTTACTCCCCAGCAAATCGAGTCCGCTGGCTTAACAGGTCTTCTCAAGACTATCCCTGAGAAGTTTCACAAGAAGACACTGACTACCTATAACGATTCGCTGCATGTTTGCTTCCGCGTCGCATTCATCATGGCTTGCCTGGCTATCTTGGGGGCGTTGGCTATGGAGTGGGCCAGCGTGAAGAAAGAGAAGAAAGAAGTAGTCGAGACAACAAAGGAGAGTGGCAAGGAGGTGGAGGAGAAGTCGGTTGTTTGATTGCTTAGGTTGCTTGTACGAAGGCGTTGGAGTTATTGTTGATAGATGGCTGTTTCTGCACTGAATACCCAGCTCGATACTCTGTAATTAGATCTCATTCACAATTCACAAAATTATATGTTGTTGCAATAACTGTCTTTGTTGTCAAAACTTCTTATAAACTAGGTAGTGAAGATGAGTCAAGATATTGAGTGAACCTGCTGGAACCTGGAAGCTCTTTAACTGCCGTCCTCAGCTAACTTAGTTAGTTATCGATAAAGCTGTCGCCCACTTTTCCCATGAGCCCCTCACCCGCATGCCACCTTCCGAGTCTCCGAAAGTTGCTGATCTTCCCACCTCATGATCTCGACTTCGTTCTCCCATTGATTCTCTCTCCGCCATTATTTCATCCTGAAAGCTACGCATCGATAGTTTTGCCAGCCGCGTGGATCCATACATATACGCATCAGACTAATCTCAACTCATCATGACAACTACCAATTCCACCGCGGAGCAAGCCTCCAGGATACCTGTTCTCCTCCTCAAGACGAGATCGAGCTCCGGCGATTCCTACGAAGATCTTTTCTCAGAATCTAGCATTAATGGGAGTGGTTTTGCGCCGCAGTTTGTGCCTGTTTTGCTGCACCAATTTCACAGCGACGGCATGAACGAAGTCGCAGCGCTACTTCGCGATCGCCGTATCGGAAACCAGGAACATCATGAATACGGCGGCTTGATCTTTACATCACAACGCGCCGTCGAAGCTTTTGTGAAGCTTGTCCAAGATGGAAAGCCCGGTATGTCATAACCTTATAGTGATCATATTTCTAGAACCATCTCGACTAACACAATCTCTCTTGCGACAGATGATACTCCCAACCCCGAGGATGAAACCTCATGGCCTCATCTACAGAACATCCCTGTCTACAGTGTCGGCCCTGCCACTACTCGCGCCCTCGCCGCTGTCCCTCAAGAACCTCCTCTCCAAGTCTTCGGTAGCCACACAGGTAACGGCGCAGCCCTTGCTCCTTTTATCCTCGCCCACTACTACGGATGGTACCGCGACCAAAAACGTGCGACTCTTCCACCTATTCTATTCCTCGTTGGAGAAACCCGTCGTGATATCATCCCCAAAACGCTACAGGACGGCGCACTACCAGATGAAGAGCGCATCCGTGTGACAGAGACGGTCGTCTATGGAACGGGCGTCATGGAGAGCTTTCCGGTTGATCTGCGCAGGGTCCTTGGCGAAACGCGCAACGATCCTATGCGATGGATTGTGGTATTCTCACCAACCGGATGCGATAGTATGCTTCGAGTCATGGGAATTCTAGATCCTGAAACCAACAAGGTGCATAAGGCCTACGAACGGGACGGCAAGACGTTCATCGCAACCATCGGACCTACGACGAGAGATCACCTTCTATCCTTTGGTTTTGAGCCTGATGTGTGCGCCGAGTCACCGACACCTGAAGGCGTACTGGAAGGGATTCAGGCGTTTATGGCCAAGAGACAGAGCTGAAACAGGGAGTAATAAACAATTGACCTTTTTGTAAGACTACATGCGGAGTATTGAAGGGCCACTGATGATTTAAAGAGTTGGGAGTATCAGCTCCGGGTATCATTGATTTTTACTGACCTTGCCTTGAATATTCTTTGCTGTTGTCCTCCTTGTTATATACCCAAAAAAGCTTGGTCTAGACAAAGGCGGCTCTGTCTTCACAGCACATAGATTTTCCTCCTTCCCATAGATCATCAATTTAATGAGAGACCGATCCGCCTGCGAATACCATATCATAACACCGAGCGCCATGCAAACACGTGAGAGCCATACCGAAGCATCAGCATCATCATCATCATACGCCCATAACCCAGAGTTCAACTCCGATGACGCCAAATTTGGTTCCCTCATCACTCAGAGGTTCGTTACCAAAGGTCTCGCACCTCGAGCTATGTCCATTCTCAAGCCCGTTATCCAACCATAGCCCATAATGCCCACCGCCTGATCCAACACTTAGAAAGCCGGTCTCGCAGTTGATGCAGAAGTCATTTAGGCCGCTGTATGGGAACGCTTTGAACCTGACAGCTTCACTAGGCGTAGGCGACGGCGCGCGAGAATGTGTAGGGGTGTTGCTCTCTGAAGAAGGCGGTGGCGGGGCGAGCGTTGTAATTCGAGAGTTCAGGTTTGCCGTATCAGCTGATGGAGGTGGAGGGAGAGGTGTGATAGTAGAGGCTCGCCAGAGGAAGCATTCGCCGTTGCCAAAGTACGAGTGCGCAGGATGCGGGTATTCGGATAGGTATGCGCCAAAGATCTGATCATGTTAGTTAGTTGACAGGATAACGTCATATGGGCTCACTGGATACGCACCCCTCCTTCTAGGTCTTTGACGACCAGGACAAAGCCAGCTCGTTTGCCCTCATATTGTCGACAGCGCTGATAAAGAGTGGTTAAGCTCGCGCCGTCCTGCTCAAGGCTATATATCAGATGCCAGTCATCGACGATACGCAGGCGCTCAGGGACCATGGTGCGAATCTCCTCCGCGACAGCGGGTGTCAGCAACTTGGCCGACGTGGGCGTGCCATGACGATAGCCATGCAGGACAAGAGGATCCAGGGGTGGAGGACGAAGGGGGCTCGCTGTACGGCGCACGGGTGTGAAGACACCGTTTATACCGTCTTTTGTACCATTGCCGCTGTGGTACTTGTAGTCGTCTTCGTAGGCGGTGTCGGCCTGGCTAGGGAACGAACCCTCGCTAGAGAAGCGACGGATGAGGCCGGTCCACATGTTGGTGATATATGATGCAGAGGCGCGGTTAGGATTGTTGGGCGTAGCGGCGCCAGAAGATTCGGGAGTTTCGGGGGATTCGTTGCGGTCAGAAGAGCTCATGACGTGTAAACACAGAGTCTAGTGATAGTGGTGCTCAAATTAGGAAGCGTAGGAGGTCATAGATACGGGAGTCGAAGCATTCAGTGATCAGGAAGCTGAATAAGAATACTGCCGTTGCTAAAAGGGAGACAGGACGTTGATATGTAGTATTGAGATCTGAGACATTGGAGGGAATGAATACCTAAGTTCTGACGCTGCTATGGTAGGTAAGTAGGTAGTGGAGGGTAAGGTTGGTAGCTGTTGGAGATAGAGGGCATGAGATTGGGGGAGCTAGTGGAGCTAGTAGGCTAGATATAGCGGGGTTAACGCCTAGAACAAGACTTGAAAGAACACGATCTTTGAGAATCGATGCACTAACATGAATAGGTAAGTTCCAAGTCGCTTTCATCGCTTGAAAATGAATAGCTTTTAAGGCAGCAATTGCCACATTTTCTGCTGGATGCCTTACTCAACAGCTTACAGCGAATTGCGTGGTGATTCATAAGCCTGCGGTCTCTTTTACTGGCCACATGCGTGTAGGTATGTACGTAAACGCTGGCAAACTTCATGATCGTCATCAACACCAGAGCCTCAAGCACCAAAAACGCTAGCTCGATATGGCCAACGGCCTATCACGGCTGAAATGCTGACTCGGTCTAGACCTTTTGATCTGTTGTCTTGTCACTCGAACTCTCTGATTGTCACGTTCCAGGGGGTAACTTGGCCGATGAGGATTGGGTGAAACAAAAGTCATGATATTACTTGATGTCTCTATTTGATTAGTGGTCTCTCTCGATTTGTATAGTTCCTGACATTAGATGCAGAGAGGATGCTCTTAACATCCAAGTTTGCTACTCCGTACTACGTAATGGAACTCTGTTTCACTATTGATCACCTGAGTATGGTCAACACGTATCATCATGAATTTCTTTTTTCTTGGGATATAACAACTAAAAAAAGAAATGGCTGCAATGTGCACTTCATCAAATCATCTTCAAGTCCCATGTTTGCCTTTCACAGACTCAGGCTCTCTCTGATCCTGACTCTGGCCCATGTCTTTGATCCTGTTTCCATACATTTGACCATCTTTCAACATCAAATTTGCCCTAAAAGACCCATGCCATGTGCATGCTACCTATGCAGAATAAACTAGTAGGTGATTCTGTCTATGTTTGTGTGCGTGCGTGCATGAGGGTTGTGCTGTGGTCTATCTATCTTCTCCAAATTCTGCCACTGATCTCCCTTTCAAAAGTCACAGCTACGTATGAGCACACCTGCTAGCAACAGATGTCGCGTCAGAGGTGTCTCAGATCGCAGATCCTAGATGCCTCGCCGATCTTTCGTCATCATACCATATTTACCTCATAATCTCCTGGTAGATCAACTGCTTCAGCTGCTCCTTGCTCAGGTTGTCTTTGTGCTTGTCAAAGTCAAAGAACTCCTCGGGGATCGGGGGTGCTGTTGGCTCGTCCTCGGGATCATGGTAAGGCTCAAGGTATGGGTGCTTCAGAGCCTCCTCCACGGTGATGCGCTTAACAGGATTGAATGCGAGGAGCTTCTCGAGCAGGTCAAGGGCCAGATCCGAGGTCTTGGGGAACAGGGTTCGGAAGGGAACCTTCTTCTTGAAGGGGAGTGATCGAATGTATTCTCGAGCGCGGCGCGACTTGATTCCGTAGTAGTCTTCCATAGTGGGCGTGCCCAGCACGTCCAGAATGAGTGTCAACTGGTGGTGGTCTAGCGGCCAAATGGTCAGCAAAAGAGCTCTATCGTCTCAGGCATTTCAGCAATAACTTACAGTCCTTGCCAGGGAATAGGGGCTTGCCACTGAGCATCTCGGCGAGAATGCAGCCAACCGACCACACATCAATGGCCTTGGTGTACTCCTTGAAAGTCAACATGATCTCGGGCGCACGGTACCACCGAGTCGCGACATATTCAGTCATGAAACCGGAGTTGTCCTCCTGCGAAGCAGCGGATCGCGCAAGACCAAAATCGCAGACCTTGAGATCACAGTTGGCGTTGAGAAGGAGGTTGGAGGGCTTCAAGTCTCGGTGCAGCACGTTGGCTGAGTGCATGGCCTTGAGGGCGCGGAGGGTCTGGTAGATGAAGTACTGGCAGTGGTCGTCAGAAAGGTCCTGGGTACGGATGACTCGGTGCATATCCGTCTCCATCAGCTCCTGTATCGTTGGTTAGTCTGCTGTTGCTATTGCGACCGAGCGCTGGTGGTACAAACTTGGATCAAGTAAACTTCATTAAATGACTCGTAGTTTCGGGGCTTCTGGATATCGAGAATGGAAATGATGTTCTCGTGGTTGAAATATCGCAACAGCTTCATCTCTCGCAGGGTTCTTAGACAGAACATGGAGTGATCGAAAGGAGTGATCTTCTTGATGGCGACCTTTTGGCCGGAGGGCTTGTGAATGGCAGAGCTGGAGAAGAGTTAGAATTTGGCACACTGCGTAAATCGCACGAGACACAAGGAAACATACCAGACAACACCGTAGGCGCCCTCACCAACAACATCCTGAATATCGTACTGCTCGCTCACGTTGAACGAGATCTTGCGGGACCCCGCAGCGTTAGGGGGGTTCGATCGAGACATGGTCGCGGTGAAAAGGAGGGGAAAGCTGAAGAGGATTAGAGCGACCGAAAAGCAACGACTGATGCCGTGTAGAGAAGAATTCGCAGCCGCTCGATCGGTCGGTCGAGATGATGTAGAAATAAGGTAGAGAGAGAGAGAGTCAAGTCAAGTCAAGTCAAGAGAAAAGGACCAGCCAAGTAAGACGAAGAAGACTCCTTTGTTGGTACTAGAAGGACCTGGATCTGGGGACCTGGACTTGGACCAGCTGGACTGACTGGCTTGAACTGGGCTGGGCAGGACTGGACTGGACTGGCTGATTAAGGATGATTTGAGGGGTCAGGTATTGAGCTCCACCCAATACAATGGCAAGATATGATTATCGACGAGACTCAACGGAATCGAGCGAGATATGCAGCTGATGATTTATAGCGACTGAGAAAAGAACCAAAGTCGAAAGGTGTAAAATAGGTGAGCATTTAGTATGAAGAAAAAAGGGTTGACAGCGACGGGGAGTTATAGTAGCGATAAAGTAGTCCAGCAGCTAAGGCAAGGCAAGGTAAGGCAAGGTAAGGCAAGGTAAGGCAAGGTAAGGTAGAGATGGAACAGAAGAGCTCCACGTCCGCTCGGGCCGTGCTGATGCTGGTTCGCAAGTCGAGAGCGCGGGGCAGAAGAGGGTCTTGCACTGCTGTAAAGGACCCGTACAGAGGCTAGCGCGTCGTGGCAGAGGCCCAGGTTTCAGTTCGGTTCGCCGTCGCCAACGGTGAGTATAGGTGAGGATGGGTAAGGATATTTGCTGCACGGGCTATTTCTTAGGAGGGAGAGAGAGAGTGTGTGTCTTCCGAATCAAGCAGTTGAATTGGGCTGTGAGTAATCCCGTTCGTACCTAGGTACAGATAGAGAGAAAGATATTGCCTCTCTCTGACTGACTGGGTCTGGGTCTGACACAAAAGGAATGGAGGATAACTTTTAAAACAAGACAGGCTGGTTGAGATGTGAAACAAGCACAGTGAGTCAAGACAAGTCAAGACGGACGGAATAGAAGGGTACAAGTAATTAACCAATATCGCTAGCTCGATCAATCACCTCCTTCGTCATCTGATTCTTTGTCCCGTTGGGCTGATGACTCTGAGATGTGATAAAGCCAAAGCTGGGCGGCTAAGAACCAACAACTACTTGCTCAACCCAAGCTGGTGGAGGTGTCACCTCAGCCCGATACCTGAGGTAGTGGACATCCAGTGACTTGTCCTCAATGCAGAGAAAGGACTCAAAATACGACAGAGTGTCCTTTGAGTTTACCTAGCCTAGCTACAGTAGCTATAGCTAGCAGGCAGATCTATCCAAGGGAATTCTTGATCGCAAGACGAAACAAAACCCTTGAAGAATAAACCAAGGTTCATGGTTCATAGTCAGGTCCAGAACATCTGTAATGATCGCCAGGAGGGGCATTAACAACGCCAACATTGCCGAAAAGCTAGGTATCTATTGAATAAACAATAGAACAGTTGAACCTGGAACAACTAAACACACAAGAACGGAATGACAGAGCAACTATGGGACCCCATCATCTCGGATATTGCAGTACAAGACTCCTTGGATATAGTGGATGACCGACCCTGGATTAACAAGCTTAACTTAAGGGTGATAACGATTGAAGGAAGACAAAGTGGGGGAGAGGAGAAGAGAGCTCATGGAACGGGCGGGACGGACAGCTTCCCGCCAGGTACAGCACGAGTAGGTATGTACCTGACGGTACGTGATAATCACAGAAATAACAGACAAGTCCAGTGTATCCCGTCCGTAACAGACCTAAACGAAACAAAGACACTGTAGCATCAACCCTCTGAGACGAAACGTTACAGAACCTCCCAATGACATGACGCTAGCGATTCAAAATACTGGGCGTTTAGCATCTGACAGCCCCGAAACATGGAGAATGCTACTGGACCCGACCACTCTGCCTTCTTCGTCTTCTTCAGTGGATCGCATCAAACCCCCCTGTTCGACAAAGATTCCTCAACGTACGTATCTATGTGTTTCACCAACCTAATGCCATGCCATGCCATGCCATGCCATGCCGCTTCACATGTCACCGACTCTCATTCTTCCTCCCTCAACGGCATGACCTGAACTGAACTGAGCTGATTCACCTGGATAGGTAGGTAGGAATGGAATGTAGGTATAGAGAGAAGCACCGTGTGTATCTGTGTTCTTAAAATAACCTCCCCCAGCGCCTAATTCTAGCCATCATTGGCTACTTGGCCCGTTAGGCGCGTGCGTTTCACACCCACCGATTCGGCGGCGTTTCATCATTGGATAGCGAGGTCCTTGTATCATCTCACTCACATATGTACAGATATGTACCAACTCAGGGAACATCGCGTCTGCGGCTGCGTCTGGTGCCTGTATCAGATTTTCATTCCATGGGGACCAAACCAAACCAACAACCCCTCGATCATGGATTCATCCAAGGAATCGGGTCTCCTTTCCGTTTGGTTTCTGAAGGAATGCACTTCTAAAAATATCATGCATTACTATGCATGTCAGTCTATCGCTCTTGGTTGGCTGTATCATGTCTTCTCCCTGGTTGTACTGTTTAATGCTATCATCATGGGCCCCTATGTACATACTTGGACTACAACATCACCATGATCATGATGGCAATGCTCTCAACATCACCTCACCTCACCCCGTCACGTTAAGGCATTCTTCGCGATCTTGCTCACAAAACAATTCATTTCATTCACTCACTCTAATTGACACCATTCGTCCTCGCATCCCTGTTACCAAAAACAGCCGACTGCTTCTCCAGGACCTCGACTCCAGTCATTGAACCCTCCTCATCCCGATCCCAATATTACAAGGACAGATCCGACCCACTCCTCCGTCTACAAACGCTCAACTTTTCGTGAGCTATTCTACTGAACAACCTTGATACAAAAGTTAGTTTGTCATCTCAACCAATATTATCATCCATCAACTCACCTTTTCTCTCAGCATGCCTAGCCATTGAGCTGCGCTTACACCCTGGTCGGCTCGATCCTCCACGAGTAGCGTTTGCGCCCAGAGCTTCAGACTAGGTTCTCCGTCTTCTCGCACGATATACAGGTGGGGCAATGTAATGCTGCCAACCCCTAGCGACTTGTGGTCCCGGCTCTTCTGAACAATAGCTCGCACCCGTTCGTTGAAGTCTCCTTCAAGCTCGGGTACGCGTCCCTTGCCGACCTGGATCTGGCCTCTGTCTTCCACTCCAAACACGTCTTGCACCAATTGCGGTACGGCATCACGGCCGACCCACAAGAACTGAGTTTGCCCATCGTCGATGAGGTAAAGGCCGTAGGGCACAAGCCTCTCTGAAGAGAGGTTGAGCGCAGGAGGGAGCGCAATGTGGCCCGTCTCCTGGTCGGGAACTCCCGCGTTGTCGGGCATATCGTGTAGTGAGTAGAGCCGTGGGTAAATGTAGCGCATCAAGAGAGGCACAGGAAGCGTTGACAGGAGGCAGAGCGCTGCCGATCTGATGTCGGAGGGGATTTGAGATGACTTGCGGAGACCAACGTTCTTGATCAGCCCCAGGAACAGGAGGGGAAGACCGCGGAGGTTGGCGGGGAATTGCAGACCGCCACCCATGCTGCCTCCAGCCAACTCCTTCTTGAACGTCTGCAAGAGCTCGGTAACCTTGCTCTGCAGAGCGTCGCGGGCCGCATCTAGGCCGCTTGAAAGGGTCCGCTCCACGGCCTTGTGACTGAAGTAAGTGGTGATGGCACACTGGTCCGCTGAGGCGTACATATCGGATAGATTGGTCGTTGTAGGAAGGGCCAGAGTCATGACTCGGATGCGACGCTCGCCATTGCAGGTTGTGTGCAACACTGCTGCTTGGAGGCAGATGACGTTCTTGGTAAGATTCTCATCAATAGCCACCTCAACAACGTAACATTGATCGCGGGGGAAGGCCGGGAAAGCGCAGAGATCAGAGCTTCGGTTGAAGAAGTTGCCGTAGAATGTGTTCATTCTTAGACCACTTGTGGCTCGGACTCGGAGAACAGCCTCGAGACCAATTTCAGACGAAAGATAGTCGCTGAACTCGGAAGCAAACTTGAGGGCATCCTCAGGTCGCGAGGCATGCCAGCCTGGGTAGAACCAGGTCTGGCCACCAGTGTATCGAGGGAGGTTGCTGAGCGAAGCCACATCTTGATACTGTGATGAGAAGAGGAACATATCAATAGAGACCTGGCTCTTTGAGCACTCGACAGCAAAGCTCTTGTAGAAACTATTGGCTGTTTGGAGCAGAGCTCCCTCCTTTGATGTGCCAAGAAGCTTCTTGTCCTCACGCATTTCGAGCTTGCCGACACCAAGGTTGGGCAGGGAAGCAGTCAAAACGACAATCTTGCCTCCCAGGGTGGAGATAAGCTTGTGAGCTGCGCGCAGGGCCGATCCCATGCATGAACCATTGCTCTGGTTGTTCTGGAACATGTCGGGAAGCTTCTGCAGGAATTTCTCCACGCTTTGTCGGCTCTCGCTGAGAGGAACCAGGAGCTCGTTGGGGATAGGCAGGAAAGGCTCGTCGAGATCGCTGACAACCAGCATATTGGTCTCGCCATTCTCATCAGTATCTTTGGGGATCGAGAAGTAGTGGAGGCTAGAGTCCACAGCCAAGAAACCAAGGCGTGTGCGGCGATCAGCATTTGGTATCCGGTCAAGGCTGTCCAAGATGGTGCGGGCCGCGGTGGCCACGAGTCCGGTTGAGACAGCAGCGTAGCTGACATCGAAACAGAACAGGTAAATGAGGGGCTGAGGTGGGCGAACCATGTACTCCTGGGGAGCGACAAACTCAACAACAGCATGGTTCAGCTCGGGTCGCTGCCATCGGTCAACACTCTGCTGGGCAGCGGCGTCCCAATCGAAAGCCTGAGGAACGTCGTTTGTCAGATTACACATATTACACCTCCATCGGTGTCCCTGGTCCAGGAAAGTGACATATGGGTTGATATATGTTCTACAACGTCGGCAACGCGAGATGACTTGATCCTGCACAACAGGTACGGGATCCTCATCGTCGTGGAGAGAACCGTAGGGCTGGATGACGAGCGCAAGGGGCAGCTTGGATTTCTTCAGGAGCGAGTGGGTGGTGGGAACAGCGTTGAGAGTCGATCGGAAATATCGCGGGGAGCAGTTGGCGTCCGGGGACGGAGTAACACTCGTCTAATAGGCGAAAGTTAGTGATTGACAATATTACCATGCCTGAGAATGAGCAACTCACGTTGGGAGGAAGAACAATCGGGGGCGGGGGAAGGTCAAGCTCCGAGACATTGAAGGGCTGGCTAAGGAGATCAGTTGGATAGAGCTGGTTCAGAACAGCAGGGCGAGGAGGCTGAGCGGCCTGGGGTTGTTGAGCCTGGCCGCCAATGTTCATGTTGCCGACGCCTTGAGTAATGCCGCCAACTCCTGGCGCGGGCTGCTGAGCACCAGGTGCTGGGTATCCTTGATCGGGAGCTTGGTAGCCATACTGAGGAGCCTGAGGAGCAGCGGGTTGCTGTGCGCCGTATCCCTGGGGATATTGGTATCCTTGAGGGGCAGCGGCTTGAGGTTCGGCCTGATAACCTCCATAACCTGGCTGAACGGGAGGGGCACCGAATTGCTGAGGAGCTCCGCCGGTCTGAGCACCAGCGACGGCGTTGGCACCGGTACCGACCTCGAAAGCCTGGGCCGCATACCCTCGCTTCTTCTTCTTGTGGCCTTGATCGTGGGGCTGTTGCTGTTGGGCGGCGGCAGGGTCCTCGTAAGCCTGTTGAGGTTGCTGTTCTTGGCCAGCATATTGATCGTATTGCTGGGCTGGATAGCCGCCGAAGCCGTCACCAGGAGGGGGCATCGACATGGTTGAAGTGTGAAGGGAGCAGTGTCGCACCCGAGGTTGAGGCAAGGTGTATACGGATGTGTAAACGGTGTCGGTCAATCGGTCGAGAAACGGTTCAAAAGGCGCTGCAGAGGAGCAGGCGTTTTAGCAATTGACAGAAAATGGGAGAGTAAAAGGCGACACCCGGTCCGAAGCTCCCAGTCGACGAAATCTGTAGGTTGGACTGGGATGGAGGAGGATAAATGGAGGTGCGTGTTTGGTGGTTGATGAGCTTAGAGCTGTTAGGTAGCGTAGCCTGTGTCTGTCTGTCCGTCCGTCTGTCTGCATGTCTGGCCTCTTCGCATTGGTCACCGCCACAGCGACAAAGCCAAGAATCCTGTAGTGCCAAAGGAGGGGCTACCTTAGTACATACTACCAAAACTCATGGTTGCCTGAGCCACGCTATCAGATGCCAAAGAGGGCGAGAAGAGGACAACGATATCACTACATCCTCACGTGTTGATATGAGTCAACTCAGAATAGCAATCAATTAGTATTTGTAGATGTGTCTACGTATGCTCATCGATATTACAAGCTTGGAGCTACTGTGGCGTCAAAGCTTCATCGGCACCTAAGCTCCCCGTGCCCGTCTGGTGGGAGTGCACAGCCACATCCCATTGTACCATGTCATGTCATGGGATGGATATAAATCAAGAACTGTCGCATCCACGAACACAACCTTACCTTAGTAGTTACCTTGGGTATTTCTCAAAACTTAAGGTACTGATATTAGGTAATATGCTTAGTTAGATACGTATCTCTCATCATGCTGATCAGGGTCATCTGTCCTGTTCTCGATATAGATAATGATAGGAAAGTACCTAGCCTTCACCTTGTGGCGCTCCCTATACAACGTACCTAGGTAAGTCTTGAAACTGGTGGCGGATGTTGAGTTGCCTGTATTGAATTAAGAGCGATATGATTGGGTTTAAATAACTCAACCGACCTCATCTTTAAATTGGATTTTTGAAAGTCATGTTGATTCTCGGTTTTGATTCATATCCCCATCACCAAAACCTGTTACCCCAGAAACTCTGTCTCAGGCCAAATGAATACACAGAAGCGCATGTCGTCTAAATAGCAGTACTCCTAGGGTCCTGTTGATTGACTTAGTACCACGAACTTCTATGACTCTATAGGTCACTGAAGTAAAAAACCGGTGTTGGTATACACGAAACACCTTAGGCACCTCTGGGTAACGATAAGATGTACTCACCGACAGAGTCTTATAAGTACATAGATTAGGGAGACATCTGGGCCGAAAAGCTTTTCATGCAGTTCTTTTAGTCAATAAGCTGTTATGTGGTAAATTTGACTATTTGTCGATAGATTCGAGCTCCTCCCCGTGGTGTAAGTGGTCACATTTGCGAAAGGTAGCAGCATAGAATGCTAGGAACTAGGTAGAACTAGTGATGGATAGCACAAGGAGGGAAATATCATGTTATCCACGTGAACTACACAATGTTAAGCCGTATGAGTCGGAAGATAGTTGACAGTCCTTCCTCATATCACGCCCCTGTCTCGAGCCAAGACAGCTGATTTGTGAGGGTTGGCTGCTGCACAATTAATGACGCCAATATATATACATCTAGCAAATCTTATACCTATCAATGTATTCTGATTCTCTCTTTATCAACGAGAAGTTAGGCACAGGTCTGTGTATATGATACATAGCCGTGAAAACAACCGCTCTTTAAAATGTTGCATAAATGGCTAGCATTCTACTTTGTTATTACACACCCTTAGGTCAACGTCTCTCTTTCATTGTATGCTGAATGCCTTGGGACTATCAAGTCATGTAATTGTTTGACTGGCCACGGAAACTCAGAGTGATGTTCATGTGCTTGTACTCTGGCGACTAACCAGATGACGAGAGGAAGCAATGGCTAGGTCAAGAATGAGACAGTGCACCTCTATGGGTGGTGTAACAAGAGTTGACATGTTTCTTTCGCATTGAATCAGTTAGAAGCTTGGTGATCAACGTGTTAAGCTCCCATGCTTTCCATAGACCTTGGATGTTACGCTGTAAAATTGGTCTCACTTGCTTTCAACCACTCTTATCACAGTCTGAAAATTCTATATGATAGTATGATTTCTCTGTAAAGATAGAATAGCGCACGCTTCTCATACGTAGTCATTCAGAGCGTCAGATAAAAACATCATGATTGCTTCTTCAAAGCCTCACACAAACCCCCTGCATCACCACACCAGCATTGTACATAGACTGTTCTCGATTCACCACAGGGGAAAATAAGTCAGCCGCCACCAAAGCTTGAATCCTTCAGGCTGTCAACAATTTAAGGTATGACAGGTGAGTCTAGGCAAACAGTGAGTGTTTGTAGGGCAAGACATTACCCAATCCGTACCTATTTTATGTGGTTTATTTTTGCACTTCATCTCATCTTTTGCACTGCCACTGCCACTGCATGGATCGCATGGACGGCATTCTCAGGTATAGCAACATGTTCAAGAGCACGATCTTGCACTGAATCAAAGCAACTCTAAATGGAGAAGCCCTTGTTTCCGTCTCACAGACTGAGTACCCAAGGTTCCATCCATACGACAAGGCATCAAGTGTTTCGATACATCGTTCCCCTCCATGATCCACTAACATCAGCCAAAGTTACAGGAGGGCAGCCCCTCTGACAAGACCTGGACCCTTTTTTTTTCGATAGGTACAGTACCGAACAATCCAATTGGCGATCCCCGAACCCAAGTTCCATTAACGGGCGGGTTTTCGCGAATACTTTAGTTCGAGGGCGAGCTAGTCCAGGTACTTGACTTTCCATACTCACATGCATCCCTAATAAAGTAGTACTCTATCCCCCAGATCCTTCAGCTTTTAGGTAGTCCCCTCAATTCTTTGCGCAACCCCCTTTCGGCTGCCTCTCTCTCTTTCTCTCTCTCTCTCTCGCTATCTCTCTTCCCTCCCTCTTCATACTCTCTCTATTCTTCTTTACTTCTCCAACTGCGTTGATCGCATTCGACACTTCTCTTCTCCAGCTCAGCGCATCTCTCGTCACTATCGCCAATCGCCGCTTTCACATTGCACGTGTCGCAATCAAACATGGCCAAACAACCTTCAGCTCTCAGGTACAGCTGCACCGCCAGCTTTCACTCCAAAGACAGTATCTAATTGACTCTTACAGTCAGGTCCTTCCTCTCATCATCGTCTTCGCTCTGCTCAGCGTAGGCGGCTGGATCGGCTACCAAGTCTACATCAGCGTCGCCAAGATGTCCGATGCTGCGTCCGAGCGCATGGGCAAGAAGAACGTCGTTTTCACAAAGGATGGTGTAAAGGTCGGCGTTAAACAAATCAAGAACGAAAACTATGTCGATGCGACGCAAAGCTGGTTCGTCAAGGCGTGGAATCTAGGCACGACATCAGATGCTAGTAAAAGGTGCGTACATCGTGGTATCTTTTCTTGTGAAAGTGGATGGAATAGGACCTGACAATGTCTACAGCAAGAAACAAAAATAAAACTCAATCACCACTCCGTCACGAATTTTCTATCTCAATTCGGGTATGCTAGGGGCATGGGTAGCACGCACGCAGACATCCATAGGACCATTCAACGAATTTCTTCACTAGGACAGTTTCTTTAAACTTGATTCATATCACGCCATATATCCGGTTGCAAGATTGCTCTATAATACAACAGATTGCACTTGGAAAAGTTCCTGTGATCGTAACCTTCCCTACCATACCAGTAAAACCCCATAGTACTATGGATATCCACTCGTCTAATACGTACATCCAAGATGGCACCAGCCAAGCCCCTACACTTTCGTTTCGAGTATCGGATCTGCAATTGCACAATCGAGTTTAGATCAAACAAATTCACGGTAATCTTTGAACGCCTGGTACCAATTCAACAATGGCACAATGCCAACTCATAGACTAGAAGTCGACCAAGGTTATTCAGGACCAGCCATCCTCTATTTTATAGGTTATCCAGAACCTCTGTAACGTCTATATGGCATATCTGGAGATGAGATGTTTTCAAAATCCTTCAAGACAAGATTATATCTCTGATATCCCATGATTAACTCTGAAATTGCAGCAAGCCGTCGGCTACCCTCTCGGTATTTGGTAAAGACCCCCTGGCTTTGCTCAGCAGCTCAGTTTTCTGTTTCTCGGCTCTCTCCTTCTGCATAGCTTCATGCTGTTGTATTGGGTTCAGAGTATACCCTGCCATAGCTGGTGCTGTCTTGGACGATAAGAGCTTTTCAAAGTTGTAGGAGGCAGGGTACGGGCTCGCCATCAAGCCATCCCTGCGGATGAGCATGGACGGAACACGAACATTGAGCTGTGGAGAAGTGTCAGTCGACCCTGAAGTTGATACCAGAAAAAGCAACAAATGTGGGGATAGATGAATGCTGAAAAGGGGAAAGAAGACGAACAAAGGACAAAGGAGAAAAAGAAAAGAAATGTTAAGCGGAGGCAGATAGCTCCAGGGGGTTATAGAGGATACTCACTTGTTTAAGCACATTGGCGTACCTAACACCAAGATGATTGCCAATAAACTCAAGTCGGCCTTTGACCCATGCTCTCTGGGCATCAGTCGTATAATCTTGACCCTGGACACAGGTCAGGGGCCAAGTGAGGAAGTATCCTGGCAGACCTTTCAGGGCATCTTCCTCTCCACAGCCAAACGCGGACAGGTTAGCACGCTCAAGAAGCTCCCTGCGACTGGAAAACCAGCCCAACTGGTAGGGTACCGAGGAAATGATATCCGTGATGGTATCAACACACGTCCTCGCAGCTGTTGCGTATTCGGGTGTTGTTCGGTAGTCGACTGGGGCGCAAACCCATGCAGCACAGCGAACAATCAGTGATGCGAGAATGATGCGAGAGCAACGCATCAAGTTCCATACGCTGACAACCCAGAGGTCCTGATATGCGTCTATTCGTCCTGGGAAAACCTCAGCCATGCCGTAGTTCCCACTGGGAACATTGTCCTCCCAAGCCACAGCTTTGTAATGGAAGTACTCGGGCAATTGGTTCGCCCAAGCCACATGTTGCTGATCGAGAGTCTGACATCGACGAATAATATCTAGAAGCAGCTCGATATTCTCGGGGCTACGGGCCAGGGACGCCATCAAGCGATTGGACTCAGCCCTGAGCTCTGCTGTACGGATGTTAAGTCGCTGACACTCGGCTCCGTACTGATTCTTGTAGCTGTCAGTTATCCACCATTCAACTCCCATAGCCGGGGGTGTGCCTGTGGTCAAAGTGTGAATGATCTAGTCGCTCGTTAGATAGTGGTCAGCCGAGGAACGAATAAAAAGGGCGTACCATTTGCGTTCTTGTGGCTACAAAAAGAGCCAGGCCTGTCTTGGTTCGCATCTGCTTTCTATCTCTCGACTTAACTAGTTGAATAGCTCCTTCAATATGAGAACCCCAAGCGAGCATTCCCAATTGCTTTGCGGTGATGTTCTCAAAAAGTCCCAAAAGCAGCACAGCTGCCAAAGTTGAGTCCTCCTTGGATAGAACGGGATCCTTCAGAGCGCTGAATGTGGCAGAAAGTGCTTTCGTATAACATCCTAAAGCCTTGTTCTCAAAATTGCAACCTGAACCGACACGGTTCCCCAGTGATGCCATAGCACATGCATCAAACGCTAGCTTGAAATGGGACGCCTGCTTCTCGCTTTTAAGGAGAGGCACCACGAATTCCATCCATCCACGCGTGTTATCGTGAGAAGGTAGCAGAACGAAGTTCGACAGAAAGTGACATGTTGCCTGCTGGTCCACCGGAAGTTGGAGAGTCGATATAATAGACTGATCGGGTGTTGGTTTGTGAATAGCTACAGCCTTTGATGGTTTACCCTGCTTCAGCGCCGTTGCTTTCCTGCTGGCCTTGCGAGCTCTCATTTCAGTTGCCTGCGTCTCATTGCGGAAGACGAGATCGAATTCATCTTTGTAGCCAGGACATTGTCGCCTGGATTTAGCGCATTGATTACAGGTTGGTTTCGTTTCATCGCACTATGACTGTGAGCTGATGCGTCTAAAGAGCTACAGGAAAACTCTGCTCAAGAAAAAGCCATCCAGCAGTAAAAATAGCAACACACCTTGATTCTTCGGGCTCTGCACATCTGGCAACCCCTAGAGGGCTTGCCGCAGTAGACCATGATTGATCGTGGTTTCTTGATAAATCCCAAGAGCGACGAACCGATCACGATGTTATGTCAAAATTCCCAGCAGGGGATATTGACAGAAGTGGAAAGAAGATGGGGGAGGATTATTGTCCAACAGCTGACTGTCCAACGGCCTCCTGGGAGGACAGAGTAAACGAGAACGGCGGGATAGGGCGTACGAAGACGCGAGGTTGCATACGGGGATGAAAGAGAGCGAAGGCCGTAGCTGGTTACTTAATGTGACGGATCCAATATGAACAGTTCAGTCTTTTGGAAGAGTGAATGAAAGTCTAGTATATGGTGATGCTCTGCTTCGAGATGGCCAACACCTAGAAAGTTTGAGGCAACCAAGCAACCAAGAGAGAGTAAGAGTGCCGCTCTCAGAGATGAAGGACCAATTTAATGCAAACACTGACTAGATGGTGGCAAAGATTCCGAGCTGTCGGTGGTTCTGGTGATAAAAGAGTTCGTCTTGGTAGTATGTAGGTACGTATGTACGTGTATATGACAGGGTATGACAGGGGACGATGATGGCTGACGGGGAAGAAAAGGCAACAAAAGGGTCCAGGCAAAGAAAGAAAGAAAGAAAGCGAAGGGGAAAAAAGAGGCAAAGGTGTCCGAGAAGCCGTATCCGAGACGAGTGAGGACGATGGATATGTTTGCTTCGCCTTACACAGCGGGGGGCTAAACAGACGACAGCAGGTTGGCGGTGGAACGTCGACGACGAGATGGAGGGGAGGACAAGGGGGTCAACGTGATGACAAGCGATGAGACAGTCCGAGTTTGCAAGCTTGGCTCAGGATGTCAATGCGAGTGAGTGACAAACGAGGTGATAAGTGACAGATGACGATGGTACAGTAGAGTACTGTACAGCAGAGGGCGGAAGAATTGCTTTTTAGCGACGCCGTTGGAGGAGAGAAAACATGGCAAGAAAAAGGATCCTGACAAAATTGGCTGGATGCTGCAATGCAAGGCAAGGCAATGCAATGCGACGACGCGATGCACGAGGATGGATCGTCAAGGCCCCGCTTGAACGGGCTGTCAGTACATAAGGTACTAATGTATGTAGGTATGTACAGATAGGCAAGGTAGCAAACAATAACGGTGTTTGCCGTTGTTAGCGTGCACCGAAAGTAAACCGAATGCCAGATCAGGACAAATATGCCCCAATTGACTGAGTTGTCGTGCCGATCAAAGTCAAAGCCAAAGCCAAAGCCAAAGTTGAGGAGACATGGAAGTTTTGAGTCGTCGAGTTCTGGAGCCAAACGTTTTAGAATAGAGCGGGAAGACGGGATGCCGTCCCTGATGTGCACTCAGGCACTTGACTCTCCCCTAGCCACTGTAACTTAGTGGCCTCTGCTAAGGGCCACAGCCAATAGAGTTATGGCGGGGACTGACACCACGAACCCGCTTCCACTGATGTGAGGTGCTCTAGTAGTCTAGCTACCTAGTGTAGCTTTCCATGTGGGCTAGAGTTGGAGGCGGCTTGAGCGGGGCTCATTACAGGGGAAGCTTAAGAAACCCTGTAGCCTGAGCCCGAGCCTGAATTGAATTGGTGGGTGGGTGGGTGAGATTCCATACACAGACAGACAGACAGACAGAGAGATCAAGAAAGATGAACCTCGGCATGTCATTGTAGCATTGACGTATACTGTACTCAATTGGTCCAGAAGTTGTCACACACTTTGATATAAAGTGTGAGTATCGACTAGCTGACGTCCGATTATAGTCCAAGATGCTAAACCGAGGTTCATGGTTAATATACTCACTACAGTGAGGAGGGGGGGGGGGCACAGCTAACAACACCAGGCAAAAAGGCCCAATGATGATAGATAATGAACACGATGCAGAACATTGCAAAGTCACTAGCGGTGACAGGAAGACGCATGTTTATGCCCGCTATTTCCACTATGCAAGTTACCCTAACTGCCCACTGCTTTGGAGGGAGGGGAAACCAAGAACCTAACCTAGGTAACCAACATGAACTAGGTATCTAACTATCTAAGAATCAAGGCCCAACATCCATTGCCAGGATCATCATGCAGATAAAATCTGATCGTCTATAGAACGGTCAGATATAGTACATCATCCAATGAGACAAGATCGACGAGGGTCGGCATTTGTGACAGCCGCGCTATTCTATTCGATGGATTATTCGAATGGAACACCCTTGACGATATACATACTCGACCGACATCCTCCTGATCACGGGATCTTTCCGTTGATGCCCAGTAGTCAGGGATGCTTTACGTGCTGTCAATCCTGTCATTGTTAAGCGGGCGGCACAGTGGCATCGGATGATCCTGATGATCCTGGGGCTTTTGCCAATGTCAGTCAATGTGGGATATCCTCGCTTGAATCTTGATGATCTCTAGGGTCCCTATATACAATGTGACATATATATGTAAGCGTTTCAGTACCATTCATATCAAGGCACATCCTGGTTATCGGTGATATCGATGAGATAGATAGTGATCGATCTCCCTCGTGTATGTGCAGAACGCCACGCAAAAGCAAACATGTACATACTTACTTCACGATTGGTAAGGCTGGCACACAGACAGCTTCTCTCCAGAACATAACAACAATGCTTCGAGTGCCACAAATCGAACGATGGGTTCATTGCCGCTTCTGGTAATAGCGGCTAACGTTAGCCCATGTGGGATGTCTCGGCCATCAACGCCTCATCGCCGTTAAAGGTTTCACATATCCAGCCCGTCGTGATCCGTCTTCTCAAGCTGAGACATAGCAGAGCTGTTATTAGACTTGGCTGAGTTGACGAGCCACCTCAAAACATGTTTTCTGCAGCAAGGAGCCGAGGCATCTCTGTTACCAAGGTCTCCCTTGTAAGGCTGCATCAACCTCAAACCAACACATTCAGCCTCCATTCCTTCACATTTGCGATGGGTGGGCCACGCCGTAATAATGAGGCTTCGTGCCTCGGTCTTAGACATTAACGGGCGTCTGCATCTGGTCGATGACCATCTCTTTTGGATGGCCTCAATGCGCATTTCGAATCGCTGGGTTCTCTGCCGTTCCAGCCCTAATAATAAAATATCGAAGCCTGGGTTTTCCACCAACAGCTTCTTGTCAAAGCTTCACAAAATACGCCTCCCATCTCTTATGGAACAATCTCGTACTTCGCGCTTCGGGCTTCACATTTGCGCGAGCTCTCGATTTTCCCATTGCTGAAGGCCTCATAAACCACATTCCTCGTGCTGCTTGAGAGGTAGAAGCCTGTGATGTTCAGAGACGTGCCACTATTCGTTTATCCTTAGAACATAATCACAGATCATTCATTACCGGTGCAGGTTGCACATATTATTGAGTTACTGCACCGTATATACTAAATGCACTCTAGCTAGTTATGTTTCGGTGACCGTTTCTTGTGTAGCTTGTTAACATCTTCTTAGCCATACGTAAATGGTTGAAGCCAAGGGCTGCTCCAGAGAGCTTCTATCTACCCAGTTCAGCTTTCATGGGTTTCTCTACAAGACAATCCCGGTATAAATGGATATTCCCGTCGAGTAGTCCGGGCTTCACCGGCACATCCTTCTCCACTTTCGGTGTGCCGACCGGCATCCTAATTCGGTCACCCTAGACCGGCACCGGCAAACAAGTGTATTATCTCATCAATGTCCAAGTCAACTACAGGGCGTACTCTCCCTATAAATAACCAGTAAAGTACTGTTGTTTGAAGACGATAGACAAGCATCATTCACTCATCATTATCATTATTGTTATCACCAAGAAAACCCCTTCAAATTCAGTGTCAAAATGAGCAAGATCTCCGACTTTGGCCTCCTCTCCTTCGACGTCTATGGCACTCTCATTAACTGGGAGACCGGCGTTTTGAATGGCCTCAAGCCCCTTCTCCAGTCTAATAATGCCGAAATATCTCGGGCAGATCTTTTGAAGATCTACCATGAGGCTGAAGTTGCTCAACAGGAAAAGACTCCTGACATGAAGTATTCTGAACTTCTGACCACCATCCACCCTCATGTTGCAGAGCGTCTCGGCTTCTCTAAGCCCACACCTGAACAAAACAAGGCCTTTGGCGATTCAATTGGATCATGGCCTGCATTCCCTGACACTGTTGATGCCCTTCGTCGACTTGGCAAACATTACAAGCTCGTTGTTCTGTCTAATGTCGACCGCGAGTCCTTCTCCGGCAGCAATGCAGGTCCTCTTCAAGGCACTCCCTTTGACCTGATCATCACCGCACAAGACGTTGGAAGTTACAAACCTAACCTGAACAATTTTAAGTATATGTTGCGGGAAGTGGAGGCCAAATTTGGTATTCCCAAGGAAAAGGTGCTTCAGACTGCGCAGAGCCAGTTTCATGATCATCAGCCCGCAAAACAGATGGGCATCAAATCAAGCTGGATCGAGAGACCTGGAGCTAGTATGGGCAACACAAAGGATCCTGTATATAACTGGAAGTTTGCCACTCTTGGGGATATGGCTGATGCGCTGGAGAAGGAACTTGCTAGCCAGTAAATGAGTCTAAACTTGATATAAATCATGTAATACAGGTCAGCTATGAAAAACTATCAAACCCTTAAACTTTACTTGATCTGTGCACTTCAACTCAAAGTATTCAAGTACTTAGCAAGAGTCATGAACCCTTCTCAACGTGACTCAGACTGATGCCGAGCCAGTTTCGAATGTACAACCAGAAGCCGCGTTAGTTTGTGACAACGAAGCTAAATCAAAACCAAGTCTTGATATCTGGCAATGACCTTGCAGCAATGAGAGAACTCTGAGCTATGACCTGTAGTAAAGTTGTAGTGTACACAGTTAAAGAATTCCAATATCGTAAATCGTAAGTCATATACCATTAAGCCACCAGCTGCTCAAACCCATGATCAAACCAATCTCCCAAATCTGGCAATGAAGTCACTTCCGTACGCGCAGGCAGTGAGCAACCAGTCTTGTAACCTCCGGCCATTCCAGAACACTGATACGTGAGCGAAGCCCCCCCCAAAACGTCCAGCATAGAGTTCTCCTGTCGAGGCAGCTGAAGCGATTCTCCAGGAACAATCTGCTGCATGGAAACCCAGTTTCGAAACTGGAGATATCCATCCTCGTCGAGCTTCCCAGTACTGTCTCGCCTCTTTGCATTGTTCAGCCTGCCGAAAGCAATCTCTAGCCCTTCTACTGTGCGTTTCTCACCACTTGTCGAAAAGACACCGGTTGATATTTCTCGCAGCAATTCCATCCCTTTCTTGCAGGCATCCTTGCAACTGCTGCTCTTGTCAGAGACACATTTTGCTACCAGGGCGAGAACAGCAGCGCAGCAGGAGCTGAACTCCGTGTAAGAAGATTTTGAAAGACTACTTTCATCGTGCAGAGTTTGACAGAGGTGAATAGTGGTGACGGCGCTGTTAATACAGTCGTTGACTAGTTCGCTTCTGAGTTTCGTCCACTCTGCACTCGGGGTATCCTTGGTGTTGATATTCAGCTCGTCCAGGATAAAAGATCGACCAACCAGAATATGAACCAGATTATATGTCAAGAAGAGGTGTAAGTTGGATCGGAATAGTGGTTTGCCAGGCGTCAGGTCTCGACAAAAGGTGTCTTCGGAAAGACTGTGCCAGTAATTGCGAAGCCTCTCCTTGAGTTGGACCATGTTTTGAAATGCTTTAACTTTCTGCACTTTATCTTTGCTCTTCAAAGCCAGACTATGTCTTGTTAGTCCTTCAATTTCAAACAGGATTAGTTAGTATTGCTTACATTCCATCTCGAGCATCCTCCATGAAGATAGTCAGCCTGAGCATGGCCATGTTGTTTTGAAAAGTGTTGATTCTCTCTTTTGGCTGCATTTCTTCCAGATCAATGGGCAGATTAGCATCAATATCTAGTCTCGAAATAGAAACAGGTCGTCCGTGTAAGATGCAAATTCGGCTGTTCTCTGTTAGATCTTGCAAGAGGCTTCGTTGGGACTGAACATACCGTTCGAGAGCGTAAGCAGTCCACCAAACTCTCTTCCGAAGCTCTAACTCTCGAGGAGATAGATCTCGGATAGACTTCTGATGAAGATTGAATTGCGTTGCCACCTTGATAGCAATTCCGAAATAGGTACAAGACAAGCCAGATGGGTCGATAGGAAGGACATACATTCCAAAAAGGAGAAAGGCCTGCACGCTTTCGATGCAGCCCATGCCCAGAATATCAGGGATCAAGTTCGTCGCCTTGCGGTAAAATGTCGATGCAATAGTATCATCTATGGTCTGACAGATATCGTGGGCATCTCTCATGAGCTCTCGATTTGAACCCCTTACCGAAGACTGACAAAGATGCGAGAATTGTGTCCCGAGCGCAAAGACCATCAACGCGACAGAGACCCAAGGGGCATCTTCACTACCCACACGAGTAGGACAAGAGTAGAACTGGTCAAGGCGTTGTCGAAGTGTCTCCTCGTCGGTATAGAAATAGTTTGTTTGGGCGATCTCAAAGAATACTCGCAAGAGTGTCAGTGCAGAGGGAGCTGGTGGAAATAAAGACACAGCTTCGAGCACTGCTGCGTCTCTGGATAGAAGCTGAGAAGTATTTGCTTTGTTACTGACTGCTGTGTCTGTTCCCGAGTCCTGAACGTGTTGTTGTTAGAGACCGGTTGACCTGTGGGACGGGATATCGTACCTCGAACTCAAAGTCGGTCAATTCGTCTTTGACCTTCTTTTGCACACGACGAGAGAACTCATTATGAGAGAACTCTACGTTCGCTGGCACCAAGTCAGCTCTGGCTACCTATACACCGCTTGAAGTAGAACAATACCTACCAGTTGATGCTGTACCTACACTCGCGCAATCCCTACCATCACAACTCACATCGTCGTTCCCAACCTCAATCACATCTCCTAAATCCTCCTCTTCATTGCGTAGAGGTAAAAGATCTGCGATAACGTTCTCCAGCTTCTCCCTGCAGAACTCTTCGAGCCCTGTGTAATGTTTCACGATATGCTCTAGCGCCTGAATACGTTCCGCCTCAAAGTACACAGAGACATCTTCGGACGTTACTTCCACCGCAGATGCCTTGACTGTCTTTGCTGCTGTACGAGAAACTCGGCTTCTTCTGAACCTATCGCTGAACTGACAAGGCCTGCCAAAGTATTTGCATCTGTCGCAGGGCATTGAGCCGATACATTTCTCCTTGAGTCGGCGACAATCATCGCATCTACGTAAAATCAATCAGTTCATGTCTTTGGCTTCAAAGAACATAAAGGAACACTCACGCTCTTGTCGTTCTTCTATGTGTCTTCCGGATAGGGGATGTTGGCCGGTACTCTATTGTATCCATATTCACTCAATCACTGGTGTCAATTACGACGGAGCCGAATGGGGGGAAACGAGCATCAATTCAGTCGCAAAAGCCTCTAGAGAAATCGTGGGAAGTTCCTGATTTTATGCCGGAACTTGATGTCCAAGAATGCGCCGGCTTAAAGCTACTGTACGCAAGCTACGGCCCGGTCCCGGAGAATCAACCGGCGCCGGCGACGGCCTCAAAACAATACTACCTATCTTCATTTAAGTAGAGGCAAGGCACGTGAAAGTGGTGGAAAAGCAAGCCAGAAATTTCCTCCTCGCTTTGCCACTTCAAAGTCAGCTCATTAATCTCCGGGTCCTTTGCGTCTGGCGTCCCCCCAACTAAGACACTGCCACCGCCGGTTCTATCTCCACAAGCCTCATACGCAAGGATGCCACCCTCTTCTCCAATCTAACGCGTGATTGACCTTGCAGCTTTATCGGATGCTTTCCCCGGTGAACCCCCCATAAGTTTATCTCTCAAGAAATCAGCCGACGTCATACAAAAGTCGGTCTCTTGTTCAAAAGGGGGAAACATGTGCCGGGCTGGCTTTCAAGCCCCGGGCCGGCCCTGGCACTACCGAGCCCTCTCTCTATAGTGCTCACCGGTTTCCGGATTCACAGCTGAGCTATAAGAAATGTTTCGCAATGGACTGATTATTGCTGATTGTGGCTGTATATGCAATGTCATTGCGCATTGTATGCAGCCGGCCTCATAAGCTGCAGACGGAGCCAATGCAACATGGCATGATTATGCGTCAACCTCAATACGCAAGTCAAATAACTTCAAGTAAAGCATGTTAATTCTCATCCTAGCCTGACCCATGCTCGCTCTAATACTCCTGATGATTCATTCCAGGTTCCTCAGTCCGGTCCTGTCTATTGTCCCCCCTTATCCGCCCATCTCTATTATACCGCCCAGAAGAAGCTTGGTCACAAGGGCCCTTGGCCTGGACTTGAAATTTCCACCCATTTTTCTTTTCCGCTGGCGGGTCTAAATCTGGTACTGTCCGCTCTCATATTTTCTAAAGGTATTACTGCCTCTGAGGCAATCATCCACCCTCACGGAATCCTTAGCCCTCAAATAGATTCGAGACGCCCTCAAGTGCATCTGGTGTAGCCCGACGAGCCACGTTCATACCTGATCGAGTCGAATCCTGTCCTGACTGCTGGTCGCTCATGAACTGCTGCGCCATCTTGCTTCGGTTCGTTCTCTTGCGATTGGAACCCCCAAATCCACTACTCTTGGGGAGTTTACCCATCTCGGACACACTCACACCCTTGAGATCTTTGAGCAGATCCAAAACAAGAGCTCGCTGCTGGCGAGTATGCGCGCCAGGCTTGGCCATGTACGTCGACAGCCGGTCCAAATCTGACACGTTCACATTGGGTAGTGAGAGAAGTACGTCCCTTGGTGACGATGTGATGGGGCTATAGTAGACGACAATTGTTGCAATCAGCGCGGCCAAGTCCTTCTGTAGTTCCACAAAGTAAGGCTCATGAAATGATGTGATGCAGGCTTTCAGCACATCGAGCGAGATATATTCACGAATGGCCGAAGAGATTCCTGGCGGGATGGGAAACCTATCTGTCGCAAGATGTGCTTCCATTGGGCTCTGTAGCACAGACTTGGGCAACTGGCCATCCACAAGATGAAACTCGGGAACCAATGATATGAACAATCGCAGTATCATGGTACAGCACCTGGTGTCTCGCACGCGAATGCCGTGGGTGCAGAAGACAAGCAAAGGCTCGACAACCTCCTGATGAGTGAGACAGAACCTCCTCAGGCTAGGGTAATCCTTGTCTTGGTCGACTCCCGAATTGTTGTCTCCATTCTGAATTGGCCCATCTAAGGAGACTGTTAGCTGATTGGCTCTTGAGAAACCCGTAACCTCCAGGAACTCACTAGGTTTGGTGGGATCGAGGAAGTCGGCCACCATCAATACCGCCGTGTAGGTCACTTGTCGAAGAATACTTTCCGCTTTCATTTCTTCCTTGAGACCGTCCTCACCGTCTGCAGCCACCTCCTGCTGGCGCTGCATCTTTTCCCATTCCCCGTTAATCTTGGCATCCATTTGTTGGAAGCATGCCGCCAGCAGCTGCGGAAGAAAATGCTCTCGGCAGTCAACAGGACAATCGTCCACAAGATATCTAACCAGGTTCAGCAAGTTACTCTGCTGGTGTGTAGACAACCAAACTGAGTCTGAGAATAGGGCCTTGGAAAGAGGCGCAGAAAGTCCCTCGAATCCGTAAAACTGCCGTTCCAAGCGACTCATGCAATAAATGATCGCATAGGCTGTTTCGCGAACAAATCGAACGGATCCTCGGATAGTTGAGGCGAGACCTTCCATCGTGTTCTTCTTATCCATAACACGAGCATAGAAATCGTCCTTGCTGCCCTCAGAAATTCCGGCTTGCCAAAACCGATCGCTTAGAATTCGGTGAACAGTCGACACTGCTTCACCTGGTAGTCCGACCCAATTGTCAGGTTTATGCGACGCATGCGCGTAAGTCAGAAACTTGAGTAGATCGGCCAAGATTTCTGGGAATCCGTCTTGCCAGAGAGCGTACGAAGCCTTGAAAGCATCTGACGACTTATCAAGTCTCTCAACTGAGAAGGCTAGGAAGCTCTTCGTCGAACGAAGCGGAAGAAGCTTAAGTCGTTCTTCAAGTTCGTTCTGAAGAGCAAGTCCTTCAGCATCGAGTTCTTGCGAGCCCCAATCTGCGATTTCATGTGCTCGGCGGTTGGCCATGTAGTTTTGAGCCTTGTCTAGTCCCAATAACTCACAGAAGCTAGCGTACGACTCCAGAGAGTTGCGCACGGTGTCGGTCTGCCATTGGGCCTTTACAGGATCGATGAACTCACGTAGCTTCTGAATCTTGTTTTGAGCGTCCACACTGGTGGCTCGGTGTCTGCCAACTGGTTAGCAAGCTACTTCCATGTGTCGTCACTGGTATACTGACATAATGATGAAGAGAAAGCTCTTGTAGGCAATGGAGCGCTTCTCATCAAGCGATCCGGACGACATCATTTCGTTGACTTTGCTCTCTATTTGGTCATATACACCCTGCGAGGTAATTAGAATGGGCCCAAGACCAAGGCTCAAATCATCTTACCAGTAAATGATCAGGCATCTCTGACGCCAATCGCTGCAGCTCAATCATACTTTCACCCTGTAGGTCCTTAATAGCGTCATTGAAAGCACGGTATTCTGGCTGGAGAGCTGGCCAGGTCATTAAGATATGCTCCAACACCTTCAGCATAAATGTAGCGTTCTTATTGAGCGCGGTAGTAGAGAAATAGACAAGTAGTTGAAGGGTTCGCTTTCGGATCATGGGGTCCTCAAAGCTCATTTCGAGCAGCTTGTTACACCATGACTCCAGATTGGCTTCAATTTCTGGTCCTTGTTGTTGATGTTCTTGGGGCCGATGCTTGCGCCATTTGGAGTACCCCTTTAATGTGGCCTCAATGACTGTGAATTGAGCATCGATGCGCAGGACTGGCATGGAGTGCTTAAAATAGTTTTGCTTGTTCAAGGGAGGCTGGCCATCATAGAGATGCTGTAATAAATCTTCTGTGCGGCTGAGAATGTGTTGAATCGCGTCAACCAACTTCAACTGGACAACAGCCTCAATGATCTGAGAGCTATATCGACGGTAGTTGCCCAAGAAAGCGTGTCGTTCGGGGACCGTATCTGTATCCTCCATGAGGTAGAGTAATGTTGCGTCTTGAGTATCCTCTGGGAGATTCTCGAATCGAACCAATCTCGAACTGCACGTCTCCAGCAGCGGTGGGATGAAGGCCGAAACAAGCTCGGTTGGGCCAATCAAGCGGTTACTGAGGAGCCGCGTCCATGTGACAAGCACAGGAATAGAGACCATCAGGCTCTGATGCTGCACAACTTGTACTAGGAGCGCCAGGAAGTCTTCCTTGGCGGTATCAGCAGGCAGTTTTGCAAACTTCCTGTCAAAGTAGTCCCCAAGGCAAGACAACATCTACGCAACGAGTTAGTACCACTCTGAAACTATGCGCCATTCGACGTACCTCTGATAGTTTCTTCAGTGTCTGGTACTTGTCTTCGTCAACATCCTCGGGGTCAACTGCAGACCACTCAAAAAGTTGCTTGCATAGTTGTATCGACCCGATTCTGAACATTGGGCCAACTAGGTCCCGAAACTCGTCGTCATTGAAGTTGGTTCTGCAATAGAGAGCATGGAGACCTTCTAATGCAGCCTGTGTTTTGGTCAGCGCAAGTCAATCGTGGACTATTCGAGTAAGTTACCTTTTGAATGGTGACTTGTGACGAAGCTAGCCCAGCACACATAACCTCAACACAACGAGCCGAGGAAATAGCCTTCGGGATTGCCCAAGGCATGAGTGACAAGAACACAGATAGGCCCTTGTGTATGCACATCTTGACATCCTCGTTGTCCTTGGGTGCCTGATTCAGACAGTAATCCAGAAACTGGGACAAGCGGCTTAGCCAACCATCATCGCCATATCGCACCGGAGGGCCGGGCTGACGGTTTGGGAAGGCCTCCACTAACACCGCGGTTGGAGTAAAGATCTCAACACAGGCCTTACTCAACACACCTTCCCGCATGGCGACAACCGAGTCGTCCCCAGTGAAGACTTCATCGGAGAGATTCTCGAGAACAAACATTACGAGTTCCTTGTGCACTGGGGAATCGGCAATATCCCACAGTTGATAAAGCATAGAGTCCATGTCCATCCACTCAGCGCCCCAGCATCTCTTGGCGACCTCAACCCAGAGTTGGGCGGTCTTATTCCTGATATAAGCTGGATCCCCCTTCGCGATGGCTTGGCCAAGACTTAATACCCATTGTCGCAGGGTATCCGTCTGTTCTAGGGTGTACGTTGACCATCGGTACCGGATCGCATGCTCAAGCAGAGAGAGGGCGTAGTGTCGAACAACGGGGGATTGAGCCTTGTCGGATGCGAGGCTATAGCCCTGCATAGGGGCTTCGTCGAATTCCTTGACCTCTTCGAGGAAATCCTGGGCTAGCCTACGGGCATCGTTGGATGAGTACGGGCTATGGACGACCTCAAGCGCCTGGTGGATTTTGGTGAGCACTTGAGATTCACCACCGGCGCCGGCCGAGGGCATTGAGCTCCCGTTGGCTGCCATGTTGGTGCTTTCGTCTGGCGGATCAATACGCGAGCGATGGACTGCTGGCGAATGTAGGGTTCACGGAAAAGTAGAGCAGAGCAGAGCACGGGAGCAAAGGCGCTTGATCTACGCAAGCTTTGTAACGGAGATCTGGTCACGGAGGAATATCTAGGCCAGAGCCATGGATGGAGGCAGAGAAAGGCGGATCGTCGTTGTCTGCTGTTTGGGGTTCACGGGTTCGAGGGTTTCGTTTGCGACGGCGGGAGCAAGATGAAGCAGATAGCGAAGCAAGCAAGCAAGCGAAGAGCCGGAAGTGACTGGGGGAAGATGGCAAGATGCAAATAAGCAAAGCAAATTATTTTTTCCAACAAAGGCGGTGAAGCAGAAGATAACCCGAGAAGAAAAGATTGGTCACAGTATCAAGTTACTTTGGAGATGGTGAGAGTGAAAGCCAAAGCGAAAGTGGTGAGAGAGAAGTTAAGTTAAGTGTTGGGCTAAAATTCAGAGCTCTCAGGCTGAAGAGAGCCGAGAATGATCAGTGAGCGAGCCTAGACCAGCTACCTAACTTAGTACAGCCAGCCAGCCATTGGTGGCGGGGCAGCCCCATTTGAAACAATTCACCTTGCACGCCTCATGCATGAATTCAGAACTGACAAAGAACTTATCGCCCCTAATAAAGTGAGGGCTGAATCAGAAAAAGAAAATACAGCCATGAAATCCCAATAGTTTCCTCCATACAGTACAGTACAGTCTTGGGCTCAGGCTCTCCTGGAGCATCACAAAGAGAGCATCAGTATGTGCCTCTGACGAACAACTGTCAACTTATTTCCTACCGTCCAACGTATCAAGCTTCTCATCTTACAGCTGGCCCCAGTTGTTGTTGGGGTCCTTTGTTTCTATGTGGCTTAACCTCCTGTACGACAGGGGCTCGGCCATTAACCAAGCTGCAAGGCTGAAAAGGAGATCGATAGGCTTTGGTTCTAGCTCACGTCACTCCTATAGAGGGGTTCAGGATCATCATGGCCACTACCCAATTTCGTCTCTGTGCTTTAGTTGATATCTTGATATGATACGTATCGTTCATTTCTCGATCCGCGATTTCAGTCATTGAAGCATGATTATCCAAGGCAGAAGTTCATTGGACTGTACTGGTGAGTGCTTCTGAGTCACAGAATCTCGCCTAGGTACTTATTAGCAAATGAAAGCCGTGAGCTTCATTTGTAGACTGGTTTGGACTGGCGCTCTCCCAAAGGTGATGAGATTGAGCTATACATAATTTCGTGGTATGAAAGTGCGTGCACTTTTATTCTGTTCTATTTATTGGCTGGCGTACACTGCCACAGACAGAGCAGTTTATCATAGAAGCTTGTTGACACACACCGCACAACCTCAGAAGGCTCATTATCCCGAATAAAGTCACTTCCATAGTTCATGCTCTTGTGTTCTTCAAACCTCGCCAGAATCTCGCAACTCCAGTCCTTGTCATTCTTGACCTCCAGGTCCAAAAGTCTTGCGCCTGCATGCATGCATGACGCGAGGATCCTCACTTTTATAGACTCTTTAGAATCTTGTATTTTGACCAAATCCAATCGCCAGACACCTCCTCCTAGGTTTTGCTCAAGCACTAGCTCGACCTTTTTCATGCCATATGATTCGTGTAGGTCATGTACAACGAAAACACGTAGATGGTCGTCATAGCTGCCTGTCACAACGACTCTGCCTGAGTCCTTTGTGAGTGGGAAAAGTGGCAGAATTGCTGTGACCCCTGCATCATGTGCCCCCTTTATAGTTGCAGGCGAATATGGCTCTTCGAACGGGGAATCAGGCTCCCTTGAATCCCAAATGCAGGACGTGTAGCGAAGCATGGAGTCATCTCCACCGCAATAAGCTGCGACTTGGGCCTTATCCTTAGTTGACTCTGGTGTTGCGGGTGAGAATGCAATGCACCAGGCCTCGAGGGAATTGGCAATACTGAGATCAGCGTAGTTCTGAGTGATGCGGTACTCTTCGTCCAAATGTAATATTCGAGCAGAGCCTGTCGAAGTTGTGAGACCAAACAGATCTGGGATCTCAGGATGCCAGTTGCATTGCAGGAACAAGATATCCTCTGGAATATCGTCACATCTGCTTGTTGATATATGCTGTAAAGGGGCTGAGGGATTTGTCTTCGGGTCAAGTTTGAACACAGCCAGTGTCCCAGTGCTAGATACTACAGCCATGATATCCTCCTTGCCTTTCTGAGGGTGAAATCGGAGGTCTAGAATAGCTGAAGGCTGCAAAACTCTCTGAACTAGATGACTATGATCAAACGCGTCAGCAACCAATTGGGGCCCGGGGAAATAAACTTACAAGTCGTCACCAACGACGTTGAAGAGTAGCAAGCTCCCATTGCGGCTTTGTGGTGTCTTGGCTGCGGTTGCAGCATCAGTGTCATTGTCGTTGTCTGTCTCTTTTTGGGCATCGTCATTTCTTTGGAGGTTGTAAGTTCCTACCACGAACAAGCTAGGATGTAGTTTACAGAATTGGATACAACTAGGAGGCAGATCCAAGGTTAAGGAAACCTTTGACGAAACGATTTTGGAATCATCCATGGGTAGTAATGGATATTGAAGTGATATGTAGGATTTGGCAAAAAGCAAAAGCAAGCAAGCAATCAATAGAAAACAAATGGAGTCCGGTGGGGTCTGTCTCTTTAGTTGTTACCTTATCCATTTATAGGGTGAGACTTGAGATGTACAATAATCGCCAGAATGCACAGTTGTAATTTCAGATTGGATACCAAAGAATTCTGCGAAGGATCCAGGCATTTAACTAACTAAGAAGATACACAAAGTGGTTGACTATTCCCATGATCAAACTTGAGGCGTAATCTATTGCAGGGTATAAGTTACAGGCCTCAAAGTTTAACTGCCGGACTAGCGCTATCAACGCGAACTTGCTTCTGCGACTCCATCCCCTCGTCTCGTCTGGGGTATTCCGCTCCTTACGTCAACACGCGTATTTATTCATTAATAACCTGCCACTTTAACGCATAGGACGGCTGAGGCGGCGATCTTGTTTCCTATGTTGGCAACTCTTTCTCCTTTTGATTTATGCTTGTTGCGCAGTTTGTGCTCTTGTCCACCACACCAACAGTTCCAGCACCATTACTGATAAACCCAAGGCTCTGCTTTGTTCTGACTACATCCTCTTCAATTTTAACTTGATTCAACGTCATGGAATATTCCGATGAATCTGACTTCTACGGTACGCCCTACCGTTGAACCAAATCTTCATTAGCTTACAGTTTTAGGGGACGATGATGTGGTCATGAACCTCAACAACCGTGTACAACAATTTGATGTTCAGAGCTGGATGCTCGAGCAACAGCAATGCCCTGGGAGGCCTATCCCTGACAAGAGCAACGTTCACGAAACATCTCATCTTCACAATCCCTACGCCGGGGTAAATTATGCATGGCAGCTTACCGAGACGGTAGATCAGTTCCTCGCACGTCTCCCACCCAGGACAACAGACATCTCGGAGGATACGCCTTGGATCTTCATTTGCAATCCGTATATACCCCGCGTTGAGAAGTCTATGGGGCAGAACCAACTTAGTAAAGGTAATGAAGATGAGGCTCCCGAGGAAGAAGGCAGCAAGACTGCGCTTGTCATGGAAGGCGGCCTGGAGAGACTAGAACTTCTCTCCAAGTTCAAGGACGGCTTGAAGAAAACCAACAAGGTCCTTGCAACGCAGGAGCGGGATCTTCGAAAAGAAATCAAGAAAGCCTCAGATGATATACTGCACCTGGCGCACGCTGCCAAAGTCCGCGCTGGCAAGGTTTGTTTCTCAGGACGTCTCGCCAAAACACGACTGACCCTTGACAGTGGATGTTGTTCTGTTCACCAGCAGAAGTAAACGACGTGTGGGAGATTGTCGCGAAAGCAACTGCCAAAAACGAGCTTGGCATTGCTGCAAAGGTTGCTCCACGACCAGCCGAGGAGGATTCTCGAAAAGATCGACTCATCTGCGTGTACACGACCGATTTCGCAGACAAGGCCGACGTTGGCAGGGTGCTTCAAAAGCTTCGAGAGCTCAGATTGGTTGAAGCTCGAGGACGACCTATCTACTATAAGCCAGGTGAGTCATGGTTTCGTATTGATGTCAAGAAAGTGAGGCTGACGCAAGTCGATAGATGCATATACGTACATAGGGATATCGTCTGGGAATCCCTGGGGTCTGAAAGCGTCGATCTATAAGTCATCTGACATCTTCCAGACCTAACGACGCACAACAAATGACTCATCTGGCCAGGCAGAACAAGAGGGAATGTTCCATCGTGTATGGAGGATCAAAATCAAGAATCCGAGTGCATAATGTAGAGAGAAACAAAAAAGAACAGGATCGTATCGTCATGACCTTCATAACCAATATCCTAAACGCCCATGATTCCAAGAGATGCTAATTCCGCATGACGCTTAAATGCTGTCGCTGACCTATGACCAGTTTGTCCGCCCATGTCCTGTCCATCAATGGCTTCCCATCACTGAACCCCGTGAAAATACTATAAATACCCATGGAACCGTGAAAGCTTATACATCGACGATTTCAAGGTCATTGGCGCTGGCGTCAAGGTCGATGTACTTGAGCGGCAGAACAAGTCGATATGCACTGTTGCCGTTGAGGTAGTATCGATGTAGCTTCTTAGTGCGCAAAAAGCCGAGCTGTTCGTACAATCGCATAGCAGCAACGTTGGTCTCTTCAGTCTCGAGGACAATTTCGTCCGCATTGCGCTTGGTCATGGCGTCGATGGCCTTCTTGACGAGGGCTGTGGCAATACCATGGCCACGGAAGTCAGAAGCAACGGCCAACATGGCGATGTAGCCTCTTCGAGTGGGGTTGGAGTGTGAAGCATGGACTTCCAGCTTGCACACTATAACACCGATGAGAGATGAATCGACTGGGTTCAGTGCCTGGAGACTATTTGTCAGATAACTACCCTGGAATCGACTTGAGGGTGAATTGGTCTCACCATGAAGCAGAGATGTGCCCACTGGCATAAGAAATACCGATATACATAGATGCTATAAGGCTCACTCAAGTCCTTTGAGATCAATGCCCGGATAGCGGGTAAATACTGAGCCTCGAGGGCATGTTCATATTGTACGTAGCGTAACTCGCCAGGAAGGTCGTCGATTTTGGTAGGGGCCATGGGACTATGGGGGTTTACAGAATGTGGAAGGAACCAGACTGATTCTGGACGATCAGTTATACTGTTGAGATCTGTGGTAGTAGAGTTGTGTTGAAGTTGATGTTTGGGTAAGATGTTAGATATGGGCGTCTGAAGGTTTAAAACCAGATCTTGACTTGACACCTAAAGAGGGGCAGGCAGAAATGGAGACTAAACCCGGTATCGGTGTGAGGGGTAGACTAAGTGCTGGCCTACAAGGGGTCAAGGACTTGAGCTGAGGTCCAATGGATAAGAGTCATTAATTCAAGGAAGAGGGTGGGAAGATCTCAAGATTTGGGGCTGGAGGTGGCAATATGCAATGCATTGGAGGTATCACAGCCAGCGCCTCCAACAGTGAATTGCCAGGTTTGGTAAACCGCGGGCACCAAAGAATTGATGCACATGGCCACGAGGGCAAGGCACGCAGGGCCGTTGGCAGGGATTCCGCTGTGCTGCAGAAGCCAAGGACGCTATTTTAGAGCTTTTTTGATGGTTTTGTGGAGGGGAGAGCGGGGGCATTGGAGTAAAAAAGGTCCTGCATGGCTCTAGCTGAGTGAGGTATTGCATCGTTTACAGGGTGGTCTGATCAAGCCGATATAAGCGATGGACAAATGCGTCTTTAACTTGGGTAGAGCCAATTTGAACTGTCTTAGGGAGAGGGAGAGAAGAGACATGGAGAAATGGTCTGTGTCCTTTCATCATCATTCGAAGTTCAAGCATGTGATAATGACAGCTCTAAACTCCATAGCGTGATATATATCTCTTTCTCAGGGAATGGGAGCCCTTAAATAAGAGAGAGACGCTTGACTTTGTGACTTTGGCCTCTTCCGTTTCATCCGCTCGGCATTTTAAGATTAGTAGCCTTATTATCTTGGCTTTGACGTCAGGTCCCTGCCTATCAGGAACGGCAAGCATGTCCTTTGAATGAGCTCCCTCCCTCCCTAGACACTTGACAATTTTCATGTGATGCCCGCGACTCCCTAACCAAACATGGAGCAACTCTTTCATAATTACGTACCACGGTCCGTGGCTTTGATAGAACTCCCACTATCGTTCAACAGATATTTTCTCCCGTATCAAATTAGATCAGTCGGTATGTTTACTCTACAACTTCCGCTGACAGATGATACGATTCTCTAGACTTCGGACTTTGCGACCACCCCGTTTTTTGTTTTAGATTTAGAGCACGCGCCCACCCGCACCCAAGTTAAAGTACCTTAGCCCGGTGTCTATGGGCGTCATAGCTACGAGCGACATTTCTCAAAACTCCAACAATCCAATCCCCCTAGTCTATCTTGGTCGGTGGTGTTTTTTACCTCCCAAACAACTGACTAAATAAGACGACGCCTCGCGGAGGCTTGTTCTTGCTTGGGTCGACAACATGGCGAAAAACCTACGGCGCCGAAATGTCCAGGGTCAAGATGAAGATACGAAAACGAACGAGAGCGATGATATTTCAAGGGAGGAAATCTCAGCGACCGACCCGACAACGCACGTTCGGGTTGTCGAGCACGCCGTTCCAAAGACTCGGAAGCGCCGCAATACCTTCATTTTCTTTCTTGGTAGTTTGTTTGGAATAATAGCCGCCGGTTTTTTTGCTTCCAGCAATGACCTTATCGACCTTCCCGAGTTCACCGACTTGTCCATGGACAACCTATTAGATGCTCTGCCAGCTGGATTGGTCAAGGACATACGCGATCTGATCCAAGGCGAGCGCGACTTTGCAGAATCATATGAGCCTTTCTCTGTCGGAACCAAAGCACGGGCTGAAGGTCTTGAAGCACACCATCCCATGATTATGATACCAGGCGTTATTTCGACTGGACTCGAGTCTTGGGGAACCGCCAATATCTCAAAGGCTTACTTCAGGAAGCGGCTTTGGGGAAGTTGGACCATGATGAAAGCCTTGGTCATGGACAAGGAGGTCTGGAAGAAGCATGTGATGCTCGATAAGAGGACGGGACTGGATCCGCCAAACGTCAAATTAAGAGCTGCTCAGGGCTTTGATGCCACCGATTTCTTCATCACAGGTTATTGGATTTGGAGCAAGATCTTTGAGAATCTTGCTTCGGTTGGCTACGACCCGACAAACTCCTTCACAGCTGCTTATGATTGGCGCTTGTCCTACCCGAACCTCGAGGTGCGAGACCGATATTTCACCCGACTCAAATCACACATCGAAGTGGCGCTGGAGGTGGACAACAGAAAAGTTGTCTTAGCATCACACAGCATGGGCAGTCAGGTCTTGTTCTACTTCTTCCACTGGGTGCAATCAGAGAGGGGGGGCCGTGGTGGTCAGGACTGGGTTGAGCGACACGTCGAGGCTTGGATCAACATTAGCGGATGTATGCTCGGGGCAGTCAAGGATTTGACTGCTGTCCTGTCTGGTGAGATGCGCGATACCGCCCAGTTGAACCCCTTTGCGATCTACGGACTGGAAAAGTTCCTGAGCAAGGAAGAGAGGGCTGAAATTTTCCGCGGCATGCCCGGTATATCATCTATGCTACCCATTGGTGGCAACGCTGTCTGGGGCAATCTGACATGGGCCCCAGATGACTTGCCAGGCCAGAATCGTTCGTACGGATCTTTATTAAACTTCAGAGTTGGGTCGAACTGGACAACCCCTGATCGTAACTTCACTGTTGAGGAGGGCTTGTCCTACTTACTCAATACGACCGAGGATTGGTACCAGGATCAGCTCAAGGGCAGTTATTCTCGTGGTATTGCTCACACTATTGCCGAAGTCGAAGCCAATGAGCTGGACCCCAAGAAATGGATCAACCCTCTCGAGACCAGACTACCACTTGCACCTAGCCTCAAAATCTACTGCTTCTATGGCGTCGGGAAGCCTACTGAGCGAGGATACTACTACAGGTCCCCTGACCAGCCTCTGATGACGAACCTCAACATCACCATGGACACGGGCTTTACCGAAGGAGACGTCGATCATGGTGTTATAATGGGTGAGGGCGACGGGACTGTGAACCTCCTCAGCACAGGTTACATGTGCAATCATGGCTGGAACATGAAACGCTACAATCCAGCAGGTGTCAAGGTCACAGTCGTTGAAATGCCCCATGAGCCAGAACGTTTCAACCCTCGCGGAGGACCTCGCACAGCTGACCACGTCGACATCTTGGGGCGATACAACCTGAACGAGCTGTTGCTGCGGGTGGCTGGTGGAAAAGGTGATACGATTACGAACTATGTTGTCAGCAATATTAAAGAATATGCATCTAGAGTCAAGATTTATGATGATCACCACGAAGAGAACGAGGAGGAAAAGAGGAAATCATAGACTGAGTGCCTCACAGTGTTTTTGGTAGCGACCTTGGTGGTGCTGAGGTATTTGGTAATGGCTCTGCTGTTTTTGACAGCGGTTGTTGTCTGGCGTTTGGGAGCATTCACATTATATGTATTGCTTTGGCTTGGTATCCTCAAATCCTGATGCCGGACAGGGACATCAAAGAGGGTCGTTTAATTTGTATCAACTCTGGCAATAGCGAAAGCTTAAAGATTATATAGAATTCTATCTTGTATTCGGCTATGCATTCAAAGCAACAGCTTTAGTGGAGTGCCTGTCTGTGCTGTGATTCAATCATCCGTTCAGCTGGTGGTGTCTGGAAAGTCTGTGGCGGTGCCCATTATAGCGGTCGTGACATGACAGTACTAGCCACAATATTTGAAGTAACAGGGATTCATAGATATCTATTGATATAAGTGAGGCCGCGCTTTTGTTCTGTTCTGTTCTGTTGTTACTGTAGGTTGCTGTGTGGTCCGCCAAGACAACACTCGACAGTGGAGGCCTGGATGAGGTCACGGTACAGCTAAACGGGCTTATAGCAACAACTGAGTCTCGACCCCGCCACCTGAATTCTCGAAACACAACCACTGCACAAACTTTGGCTTCGGCTTTGATATCTTTTGCTCCATCTCAGGTTCTGGTCTCGTCGTCTCCAGGAGATGACCACTGCGCTCGCGTCTATCCTTGGAAGCCATTGTCAATTGGCCCGTCGTCCCGTCGTATCTACCCAGCGCAACATCCTCAGCCAGCTTCGCATCACGCATATCAAGTCTCAACAGGACTCGATGCCTTGGTCCCTGTACCCTTACGGAAACGAGGATCATGGCAGATTTCGAAGAAGCTTCCTACACTCATGAGGAGGACGAAGAGCAGCTATGGAGCGGTAAGTTTCGTTACAGGGGCTGCTACAATAGAAAAAATGAAGGACATGAAATGACTGACATGATTGATCTTTTGTAGAACTTGATAAGTGCGTTTCGAGCAAATGCGAATCCCACGAAACGATCGACGATGCCTTGCGCACATGGATAGATTTAACGACACGCCTTCGCGACCATCTCTACGAATCTCAGGAAGAAATCGTTACTTGCACGCGGATGCTTCTCGCCAGCGACCTATTCCAGGCCAACAAAGACTATGTTCGCACGCAGATTATCTATAGCTTGCTTCAAGAGGACGAGGCTGGGCCTCTGCACGCTATCGTTTCTCTTCTCCTCCTCGACGGGTGCCAGGATGAGACCATGTTCCCTCGCATGGTGAACGAGGCTTGCTTCCCCCGACTTTTGGAACTGATCAATGGTCGCCGAGATCAGGACCCTGGTCTGCATCGCCTTCTTCTGCAGCTTATGTACGAGATGTCGCGTATGGAACGACTTCGGGTCGACGACTTGACTATGGTGGACGATGAATTTGTCCATTATCTTTTTGCATTGATTGAAGAATTGTCTGACGATGCGCATGATCCTTATCATTATCCTACTATTCGTGTTTTGGTAAGCAGCTCCCGTCCCATTCTAGCTGCCATTGCTTACATAGACGCAGCTTGTTTTGAACGAACAGTATATGCTTGCGTCGACAGAAGTCGGCGATTCTGCTTCGCCCAATTCGCCTCTGACGAATCGCATTGTGAAGTGCTTGAGTCTTCACGGGGCTTCATTCCGAACGTTTGGCGAAAACATCATTTTGCTACTGAACCGAGAAACCGAAACATCACTACAGCTACTCATTTTGAAGCTCCTGTATTTGCTATTCACGAACAAGGCGACATACGAATATTTCTATACGAACGACTTACGAGTACTTTTGGACGTCATTATTCGAAACTTGATGGATTTGCCGGATGAAAAAATGTCCCTGAGGCACACATACCTACGAGTGCTTTACCCGTTATTGGCACATACGCAACTCAGCCAGCCGCCTCACTATAAGCAGGATGAGATTCTGCGTGTGCTGAGCATTCTCCGAGGCTCGCACAATGTTCACTTTGCACCAGCAGACGACACAACGCTTCGTCTGGTCGATCGTGTATCAAAGGTCAAATGGATAGAAGAAGCGCAGTCCCCCACGGTAGGATCCGGCGAGGCTGAAGTCGCCCGCAGATTCCTCGGCATAAGTCTATCACGGTCGCAAACCGCGAGTAGTATCAGTGTAAGCGACGTCGCGGCAGTTAAGGAGAAGCCGGGAGTGCAGACACCGAGTCGATCAGGCGATGGAGGCGACGTTGCTACAGATGATGAGAACGTCACAATAGCTACGCGACCGAAGAAGCCTTTGCCAGAGGTACCAAAACACCGCCATGGAGTACCATTTGCGCAGAAGTTCGTCAACGGAGGACCGAAGAAGACACCACCTAAGGCGCCGCCGCCGCGACGATGGGGACGGATGAAGACGGTTGAGAAGCCTCCTGCTGACCCAGTTCAGGAAACAGTCCCAGAGCAGGAAGCGTGATACTAGTGGGCGGCTGTTATTCTCCAGGATATGAACTTTAAAACAGTAACATCCCGCTGGGCGGAGGGCACCGGTCGACAACCGTCACTGTGCGCTAGGGGAGACTCTCGGTTTGAAGATGGCGTTTGTGGAGCTTTCTACTGCACTTGGCTGAACACAAAGCATAAGGCATGGCGTTTTGGAAGGATTTGGGCATTGGTCTTGGTAATGGCTTTGGGGAGATTGTAAGTAAACTGCGGCAAGTCTCTTTTTACGTGCTACTATGTAGCAATAGCATTGTAGAGTTAGTAATAGTGAAGAGAATGATAATTTTGTTCGACAATGGCATGTGATGATGGCATCATTGAGTGAATTGTGTAACTTGGCAATGTCTTGAAAGCTGTGATTGAGGAACGATGAGCTGAAGCTGTCTAAAGCCGTCATCGGATGCCTCTTGTTAATGTCCCTCAAGGTGGATGTCATCGGCAGTCATTTTGCAGTGCCGAGCCGGGATGCGGCTTGTACAAATCAAGATTAACTCAGATTTCATGGAGTTCTGAACACGATTTTATCAAGATCCACAATCTCCATGCGGAGAAGATTGCAAAGGCCTTCCTAGTTCGAATATCTACGAAACACCGAAACAACAAGTTGCAGATCCGGGAGACGGCGATGCCGAGCAGATCTCAGCTTCAGTGGTGAAGTGGATACAACCGTGGGAGCGACAAGTCTTGCGATTGAAAGGGATTGGCCGCATGTGAGATTGGGCACAGCCTGGGGGGTTAATGACGATCGTCGTTGGGTTGTGTTGCGGTTCTGGTTTAGTGTGAGGGCATCACCATCACCATCACCAAAACCAAGATCAAGACCAAGCAAGGGATGGACCCTTCTGGTGGCGTCCGTTTACGTCATTTGGCGGGGAAGATGCGTCGGAAAACTGGCTGCAAGCAGCTAAGCTGGGGTGTTCTTTGGGATCAAGATACTTGCCAATACTTACAGAAGCTAGAACCTGTCCAGACACTAGAGAAAGATAGGGGGAGATTAGTGACCTCAGCTCATGTCGCTAAAGTACCTGCAAGTACCGCCAATAAGCCCATTCGGTGTAAGTGCCATGAGCTCTCTTGGCGTGCGACCAGATGGAACTCAATGCCCCCCTTCTCCTAGCCCATCAACTGCATCATCCATTCATATTAACAAACATCACGGCTGGTCTCACTCACACAATCTCCATCTGGGGCCTCAAAGACTTGACCGTGCTCTAAGCCTATCTTTGGCGCTTGTTGACTCAGTTGATTCCGACTACGCTCACTCTTTCTTTTCGTTAGGTACAACCGTACAAGCTCCTCACTCAGACCGAGGCTTAACAGTAAGTTAGTACTAGACCTATCTCTAGAAGTCTCCTTCACTCTTTGCTTCACCTTCACCTGCAACAACGGACTGCAAGACTCCTCCATTGTGGAACATATAGATCTCCTTTGATCTTCAGTCTACTTCTATTACCCGCTGATTCTCAATCCTCTACTCCACAGTTTCCGCTCAAGCTCCTCCAAACAGAAGAAGCGACAGAGCCAAGGTACGCACGTCGTCGATTCACCATCATCATTGTCTCAAAAGGTTCCTCCACTGCGACGCGCAACGGAGACGCTAGTCTCACGCTTTGAACCTCCAAAGGCCTCCAATCTAGTGCTAGCGGCAATCTGCCAGCAGTGAGGTTGTGCGCCCATTGCGTCAACACCATCATCCCGCGAGCTCTACACCCTGATTTTTGGGTTTTGGCTCGGGCTGCCTGCACAAGCTCGCCCAGCAACCGGCTCAATCCAGTTCAACCCCTCCACTCAGTGCCGTTACTGACTTTCTAGGCTCTAGGTTCCAGGCTCTTCTCCCCTTCCGTCTCGGGTCCATCCCCCATCTCCTCGTGGTCCATTCCGTCGTTTCTGTTTCTCTCAGTTGGTCCTTGCTTGCTCTAGCTCAGGTTGTTAAACTACGGTACTCGGCTTGCGTAGTACTGTAGGAGAAATAACAACGCCACCTCCGCCATGGATCTACCTCCCTCTCACTCTCATCAATCTCAACCTTCGTCATTTCCCCAACAGGCGTCTTATCCATACTCTTACGGTCACGATTCTTCTCCAGAATCATCCTCAGCTTCCCACCAGCGTGCAACTGCTACTAATACCGCCGCCAACGCGCACACACAATCATATTCTCAACACGACGATACCTACAATCGGTCAAATTCGATTCACGCACCGCAACCGCAGTCGCAACAAGGAGGTCGTTTCACCGAGGAATGGGGTGCGGCACCGCGCGGGCCTTCAGTCCTCCTTGATTATCCTTCACCAAGCACAAACATGCAGCGCAGCAATTCGGTGCATAGCTTCGTGACTGGCGATGACCAGCAGCTCCCGGCTCGCCAGAACACGCTCAAGAAGAAGAGTTCAGTCCGCCGAAATGGGAGTCTCAAGCGTAGTAGTAGCCGTCGCTCTATGAGAGCTGGCAGCGTTAAGAGTCTTGCTTTGCAGTCCTCATCAGACCATGATGAGGCGCATAGTGCTTTCTATTGCCCAGTCCCTACGTCGGGCAATCCTACTGAGACACTCTCGAACCGATTCCAGAACTGGAGAAAGGTGCTCAAGGACCTTATTGCATATTTCCGCGAAATTCAAAACCACTACGAGCAGCGTTCCAAGTCGCTCCTCAAACTCGCCAATGTGGCTAACAATATCACTACACCACCTGGTTTCCTTCAGTCAGCTGGTATAGATGATGCGCTCCAATTTCTACGAAATTACAACAAGAATGCTATCCTCGAGGCCAACAAGGCCAAAGAAATTGAAGAGGATGTCATTCTTGCACTCACTGGATTGAGGAGCGACCTCCAACAGAAGATCAAGGAGATCAAGAACCTTTCAGGCGACTTCAAGAACTCGGTCGAGAAGGAGATGGACCATACCCGCAAAGCTGTAAAGACCCTCAGCGATATTCTCGGCAGAAATGAGCTGGATGAATCTTCTACCACTGGCAAGCAAGATCCATACCTGCTACGCCTGGCTGTCGACCGTCAAGTTGAACGTCAGTTGGACGAGGAGAACTACCTCCACCAAGCTTATCTCAACCTGGAGAATTCCGGACGAGAGCTGGAAGCGATTGTTGTGGGAGAGATTCAGAAAGCCTACAACGCTTATGCTGGCATTCTTAAGCGGGAGGCTGACAACTCCTATAACGTTATTGGCGAGCTTCGAGATGGCCCTATTGCCATGCCCAAGGACCACGAATGGATGCATTTTGTGACTCACGACGACAAGTTCGTTGACCCAAGCATTCCGCTCAGGACCCCAGACCAGATTCATTACCCCGGACAGGACCATGAGGCAGCCCAGGAGATTCGAGCCGGATTGTTGGAGCGCAAGAGCAAATACTTGAAGAGCTACACAGCCGGCTGGTACGTATTCGTTGTCAAAACGTCGTGATCGGAGAAATTAACCAAGTTGCTAGGTATGTACTTTCTGCTACGCATCTCCACGAATTCAAGTCAGCGGACAAGGCGCAAGCCCCTATCATGTCTCTTTATCTTCCAGAACAGAAAGTAGGATCCCACTCCAACGAAGGAGGCTCTTCGAACAAGTTTATCCTCAAGGGTCGCCAAACGGGTGGCATGCACCGCGGACACACTTGGGTCTTCCGTGCCGAAAGTCATGACACCATGATGGCTTGGTACGAGGATATCAAGGCTCTCACCGAGAAGACTGCCGAGGAGCGAAGTCAGTTTGTTCGAAGCCATTCTAGAAGCCTTAGCCGATCATCCCGACGATCAGTTAGTAGCGATGGACTGGTCGACGAGGAGGACGAGGAGCCCTTCACGGCCGATACTGAATCATTTACCAATCCGGGACCAAGACAACATGAGGCGACTCCCCGGCGATCTCAAGCAGGTGGGCGGTTCCCATCTGATATCCAAGTCAATGCGCAACGTGGCTTACAGGCCCCTCATTCGCCTTCTAGTGTAAGCTCTGGCTTCCAGGACAACAGGAACCCCGCTGTACCACAGATTGTCACGGGCGTCCTTTCTGGTCCGGCCGCTGGAGAATCGGAGCAGAACAGGGATGATCATCCGGGCTATGGGACTGTCCACCAGACGCCCATGGATGAGATGCCCTCGCATGCTGCGATCGCAAGCCAAAAGGCCCATTACGACGGTGTTAACCCTTATACGAGCGAGCCGGTCAACCAGACTCCCGTTGACCCGGCCCCCCTCCACCAACAGCAGCAGCTATACCAGTCACAGTATGAATCGCAGCAGCCTGTACAGCTGTCAGACTATGTCGATCAACACCATGACCCAACCTTTGTTCCTGTTGTGATCCCCCAGGGTAAGGATGAGCGCGATGGCAATTTCGCCAATAGTGAACAACGCCACTTTGATGAGCAACCTAACAATCATACTATGGAGCCACGAGAGGAGCCATACGGCGGATATACAATCAGTGGAGCTGGCCATGAGACATCGAACTTTGAGCAGCCTTCATATCCTCAGGCGTCATATGACAATCAACCCAATCACAGCTATGCCAATGGCAACGCTAAGGGCAACAGTTACACAATGACAACTGTGGGAGAGGGCTTTCCTAGACTTGATGGCGGCGCAACTGAAGAGCGCCGGCCGTCGACTCGAGGAGGCGAATCAGTCTACACCGAACGTGACTCTGTTCTACTCCAGACAGACGATGAAGATGAGAAGCCTGTCCCAATCCGACCATCTGGTAACAACCGGACTGAGAGCCATAACACCATCTCAAACCTGCATATTCCCGGCGGCTACCCCAAGAGTACTCAAGCATAGGATGGGGCATCAGTATTCGAGTTTTTCCCACATTGTGTGCCCTTTGTTGTTTTCCTTATTGTTATTTTTACTTTGCTGCGATGGTGAGAAATGGTCTGGGAGGATGGTATAGCGTTGACTGACGGGAGGCGTTGGTCAAATGTGTTGACGGGATGACTTGTGGTACGGTTTGAAATGGAATATCCCTCGTTTGGTTTTGGTTTGGTTCTGCAAAATACTCACTTGGATCGGTGTGATGAGATATCTTAGTTAGTCTGTTTCAATTGATTGAAAAGTCCAGCGAGTATGATGAGTTTACAGTGACTGTCTAACACTGGTCAAAAAAGATGTTCACTCACAACCTCCAGCGTCTCCGAGTTTGTTCTATCAATTATGTCATCCGATGTTCATCCGTATCTGAGGTCGGTATATGATATCGGTAACATAGTTTTTCCGCCCCATATCGCATCAACCAATCGGGCCGCTCCAAGCTAGCTCCCGCCAAACCTTCGGTGGACACTCTCTTTGCAAAATTTCACACGGCAAAAAAAAAAGTTCAGCATTCGACCTACGCGGAAACGATTCCAAGGCCCAAACCAACGACCAAAACCCCAGCTACGGGCATCAACCGAAACAGAATCGAACGAGCGGTCGAATCGCGAAATCTTGATCCCTTGGATTTATATCAATTGGCGACAGCGCAAACTCGATAATCATGTCTTTCCGTGGAGGTTCGCGAGGACGCGGCGGTAGTGGATTTGGAGGCCGTGGCGGTGGTACGTCTTTATTTCTTCGTTTCGCGGTTGATTTTGGGGGAATTGGCTCTTTGCGATGCAAGAGACGTCGGAATCATGCGAGTTGAGGCTGGGATCTGGGAGTGATTAGCTCTAATAGCATTGTTTTACGTGGATTCAAGATCAACTACTAACGAACCGCTTCTAGGCCGCGGTGGCTTCCAACAGCGAGACATGGGCCCTCCTGCTCAGATCCTCGGTATGTATATCACCATGTTCTATCCGGAATCTCATAACTAACGCTCTCAGAAATGGGCAAGTTCATGCACGCTTGCGAGGGCGAGATGGTCTGCGAGTCCATCAACCCCAAGGTCCCTCACTTCAACGCCCAGATCTTCCTCGAGAACAAGACTGCCGTCGGAAAGGTCGACGAGGTCCTCGGCCCCATCAACCAGGTCTTTTTCACCATCAAGCCCACAGAGGGCATCCAGGCCACCTCTTTCAAGGAGGGCGACAAGTTCTACATCGGCTCAGAGAAGCTTCTGCCCCTCGACAAGTTCCTCCCCAAGCCTAAGCCCCCGCCTGGAGCTCCCAAGCCCAAGCGCGCCGGTGGCGGTCGCGGAGGTGCCCGTGGTGGACGCGGCGGCTTCGGTGCCCGAGGCGGTGGCCGTGGTGGTTTCGGCGGTAGCCGTGGAGGTCCTCGAGGTGGTGCTCGTGGTGGTTTCGGTGGTCGCGGAGGTGGCCGTGGCGGCAGTGGTGGTTTCTCACGAGGTGGAAGCGGCTTCGGTGGTGGTCGCGGACGTGGTGGCTTCAGCCGCGGTGGCCGATAATCTCCTTGCCACGACGACGACTGCGGATCACTTCTGTTATTGAGGAGGACTAAGCGACTACGCGACCCACGAGAGCTGCTTAAAGGGAATGGGGATCGAAAACCATGGAATCTAGGAGGAGGGAAAGGAAGAAAGAAGAAAGAAGGGATTGACATGTATTTCTCTGGCGTTGGACGGTATCTGATTTTCCAAAGTGCTTTGCTTGGTTTGGCTTTCCCACATGGCTCTATATTCCAAATCCCGCGATCGCCATGCTCGTATGATACGGCATCGGACTGGAGTTTGTATGTACAGACACAAGAGGATTCGACGAAGAAGACAAGAGAGAAACCGAAAAGAACGGGCAACCTTTTTAACTTAACGCATGTTTTTATTGTGAAAAATGTACATTTTCATTAGCTTTTGTAAATCTGCTGTCTACGCTCATGGGGTATATATAAGGCTCAAAGTCTCTAAGCTCTTGGAACGCCATGCAAACAATCAAAATCACTCCCCTCGGCGTCTGAGTAACGCTGCACACAACAGGCCCAGGGCTAAGATAAAGGCCAGCCCTCCTAGTCCTAGGCCAAAGTATTGCGCATCCCGATATCCTCCCAAGGGATCCTTGTCACCGCCCTTACCCATTTCCACAGCTCCAGCCATGCCCAGCCCTACTGAAAAGGCGAAAGCTGCTGCTGTATTGGTGATACTGTTTGCGAGTCCCAGTTGTCCCTCCGGCACATCTCGTCCGAGCACAGTCGAGGAAGCGGGAACAATCAACACCATACCAACCCCCATGAAGATGGCGCTGACAAATGAGTTGGCCCAATATGCTTGTTGAGTTGGGGCTGACGCCAGGAGAGCTGAACTAATCAGAATGGTGATTGATGAGACCACCATGCTCAACTGTGCTGTAAAATCGCGATTTGCAAAGGGCCAACATCCAAAGGCGATGATAACACCAACCACTAGTACTGGCACAAGAGCAGCACTCGTGAGAAGAGGACCCCAACCTCTCACAACTTCGATAAACTGTACGAAATACCATGCCCAGATTCCAAATGCTGCTGATGCTGCCGTTACGAAGCCAAGTGTGATACCAGCAGCCAGGTGAATCTGCTTGAAGGGCACCAACGGGTGACTGGCCTGTGACTCGAAGAAAGCGAATAGTGGTATAAGTATGATACCTGCAATGATCAAGATATACGCCTGGGGAGTATCCCATCCCACAATAGGCGCCTGGTTCCAACCAACGCTGAAAAAAATCAAGGCAGCGATTCCAAACACGAAACCCAATATGTCCAACCGCTTCCACAAGTTGCCTTCGAAATTGTAGACCAAGACTCTCTTTGCCGGGATAACAAGGATGCTTGAAATACCTAGAGCTGTACATATCACGGCCAGGCAGTAAAAGGCCCATGGCCACGAGGCATAATTGGCAAACAATCCTGTCATTATCGACCCAATAACAAATCCGAAAGGGACAGAGGCATCGAAGAATCCCATCACAAGCATCTTACGAGGCCCAGGAGGATAAGCCCTCACCAGCATTCCGTGTCCATTTGGAATAGTAAGTGCAGGGCCGATGCCTTGCATAGCTCGACAGAAGCAGAAGAACACGGCTCCTCCATTTGCACTCGTCTGTACATACACACCGAGACCAGTAAGCAGACTCCAAAGGGCAAACCAAATGTATCCAGCAATGAAGGTATATCTTTGACCGCAGACATTCCCGATCCGGTTGCCAAAAAGAGTGGTCGCGCCATAACTCAGTGCATACGCTGATGTGAACCAAGCAAGGTGTGTTGTGCGCTCTGGTTCGAAGAATGACTCTCCAATTCGTCGGGCAGATGTCAGTGTCTGTGCAAGACTGGCATATGTCAGAACCTGTGCCATACATATGACAGCAACAAAAAGGCTTTCGTTGGTGGCATGGTTGAACTCAATCATCCTGGCCCCCTCGTTCAGGGGTTTCCTTCGCAAACCCTGACTTGCAGATGAAGAAGGATCTGGGTCGGATCCCGCACGAATGTGGGTGACCGTGCCTAGCGGGAGTGATCGTGTACCCATGTCAGGCCTCAGGGCCATGTATTGGTGATGCTGTGTTGTTCCCCGGAACGCTTCAAAGCGCCTGGCAGCTTGGACAAGTCCGCCATGGTTGACCGAAAAGTCCGATGGCGTTGGGCCTGTGGTAACAGCAGGAGTTTCGTTTGGGCGAGACTCGGCCAGGTTTACTGGAACACTGAATCGTGGAGGTGGTGTATGAGGCGTATCTAATCGCTGTGGTAAGTTTGGTGTTGCCAGTCGAATCAAGTCTTCAGGGACTTGTGCTGGAGTCTGAGCCATTTCCAATTCCGCTTCACGGTCAAGGAGAGAATCTGTCTCAACATTTGGAGGTCGTCCTGGCATAAGTGATATAGGTATATAGTTGCCTCGATGCGGTGAAACGGGTGAAACAGTCATTTCTGATACACTCATCTGGCTCACCACATCCATGTCTAGCAAATTCACATTCTGGGATATTTCGCTGACGCTTGAAGGACTTCTGGCATGAGAATGCGAGTATAGCTGAGAATTGGAACGAGAGTGAGAGTATTGTCCAGGCTGAGAGTGAGAATTGAGGTTTGTGTAAGTGGGAGCCGGTGCTGCTGGAGAGTAATCACCATATTGTTGTTGATAATGATGGCGAAAAGATTCCGTGACGGCGATCATGGTATCGGTGACATGTTGGACGGCAGAGTTGGATCGATTTAGTTCTCGACGGGCCTCAGACTTTTCAGAGTCTTGTCGTGATACGTTCCGAAGCGGCTCCATTGTGAAGTTGGTGACAAGTCAGCAACGCCCGTGTTAGCAATAGTCGCCCCTCATGTCCTCGCTTGTAGATGTTCTGGAAGTTGATTATGGTTTGAAAGGAAAAGAGGAAGATGTTATTAGTCAATAAAGCAGATGATCAAGGCTGAGGAACCCTCGTAACTGAATCAGAAATCATAACCGAAGAGAATCAGAAATCAAGCAATCGAGATATAGTCAGGGACGCTTGGGGCTTTTAGTCAATGGGAAAGGCTGCGCTTACAGCTTACAGCTTACAAGGAGGGTCATAACCCATGCTTCAAGCTGTAAGAAGGCATGTCGGCTCATAGAATGGAAGCTGGTCCATACCACTCCGTAAGCCTTCAGGGCTGACTCGCCCCCGCAACCAAGCTTAGCTTTTAAGGCTCAGACTCTGGTTCAGGGTCCGGAGGTTTAGGACCAGACACTTCCATGTCTTGGCCCAACCGTTAGTTTTTGAACCGAGATAAGGGTGGGTAGTGTAGTGTATGGGTGAGCCAGAAATAGAATCATCGATCTTGCAAGTTGTCACAAGCTGTATCCGTACCGGTAGGAGAAAGAGATTTTGGCCTCTATGAGGATTCTTGTAGGTAGTGATCTACTCGTCTCGATAATTAGTCCTCCTTCTAGTAATGCCTGACTTGTATCACGATTCACGTTGAACAAAGCTCAATTGGGGCGGGGATAAGAAAGGTCGGGCAGACGAGACAGTTCAGAAAGTCGGTGATGCATTGACACAGGCGGCGGCTACAGTGGTTCGCGCAAGGGCCTGGTTGGTCGATCGATCACGATCTTGTTGGTGATGATGGAGAAATGAAAATAATGGTGTTGGTGATACAGTAGTGGAAGGCACTCTCATCAAAGCGGCTACGACCAACACAGGCCAATGCAGCAAGAGGCAGTCTGTACCACTGCTACACTCCTGCTGTCCCCATATTGCCTGTCAATGGTTAGTGATCGTCAATATTATTCTCCCCCTTATTTCCTTAGTGCATTGTTACAGCATCATAGGTATCATCATCGGTGTAACCAAACCCCCAATTAGGTGGTATTCCTCTCATGTCCCGACGATCAGATCCCCCCCATCCTTGTCTATCATCAACAGCACAGCCACCCGTCACTCTCTAGAGCCTGTCTAGTCTGTAGTCCTATCCTAGCATCCTTCAACAGCACAGCCTCAACATATCACAACCCATGTCTTACCCTGAACACGTTCTTTGGGTCTTGGGCTTCTAGCTCCAGCGCCTCTGACAGCATGTTTCAGATATAGATGGTGTTGATTGGTCTTTATCAAGTTGGTGAAGACCCAAACTTTGAATCGTTCTGGTCTTTTTGTGAGACAAATTATGTGATTTTCTCAGTTGCCTCCCCTTCATGAAGATCTTCTTCCCAGTTTCATTCAGTAACTACCGGGAATTCGGCAACCAAGCCTCATCATGGTTTGTCGATCCACTCACCGCAGAGCCTCAGATTGTGCGTAGGCATCACGTAGGACTCTATTTCTGGTCATACTCAGCTTCCCATGCCTACTCATTGCATCGAGAAACAGAGAACCTGCTAGCACATCGAGGCTTTTATTGAACCTTATACTGGTTGGTACTTGGGAACGATCAACAAGAGATATGAATCAATGGTCAAATCCTGTTGGATTCCGAATATCCACTCACTTAAGCGAGATTCACTCTCAAAGCCCTGAATGAAAGAGATGCCTACAGCAGGCACTCTGTTTTTCATCAAGAAATTGACCTCATCCAACATCGAGAGCCATGCGTCCGCATCACGACCAATTGACCGTCACATCTTTATCACTGTGTAATGTGACATTAGCCTACACGCCACACGAACAGATCATAGTCGATACTATCGAGTAACTCCATATGGCCATGTACTAAGCATATACTCATAATGCTGTGCTCATAAAGGAACCGATTCAAAGTTGTCACATAAACCAAGCAACGACGTAAGGAAGGAATGTATGGGTATCATGAACTACCATTGTTTCAATAAGCTGCGTGAATCATGTCCTGTCCAAACCCCCAACCCCCAAACAAAGATGTCTCCGACCGTGTGCGCTGAACCCCTTTTGTCCCTGATGTTTGTCCTTGCGAACTTCCTGTTGAACCCCCTGCTCGATCCTGCGATACCCTCCAGTGATGGCAATCGTATGCTCAGATCCAGACTACATGACCTCTACCCCACCCAATTTTTCGGTGCAACTACACCAAACCAACGTGCCATGTCAAATAGCAATATCAGCTGTCGTTTAAGGCTTGGGTATGCGGATGGTCTTGCTAGTCATGAGGCAGCCGTGGATCATGAACAGAATCACGGCAGGATGGAACTCGAAAGCCGAACCCTGGAACCAGACACCAAAGGGAAGATTGTCATGAACCCAGCGCTGCGAGAGCCAATAGGCCATGATGGCGTCCATGCCGAGCGAAGTGGGAATGGGAGTTCCTTCGAAATACTGGCTCTTGCCAGTGGCGTCCTTTGGAAGAACCGAAACGGTAACATTGAAGCGGGCGAGGCGAGTGAGGCCACACAGAACGAAGAAGGTAAGACCAACAGTGTCGGCCAGCGAACGAAAACCAAGGGTGAAAGCGACCATAGCGGGGGCGACACCGAAGGAAATCTGAACAGCATCACTGTCAGCGACCATAATAAGTGACAATGCGTGCATTAAGACATACCAAATCAGCAAGAGAATCCAATTCTTGGCCCATGAGACTACTCTTCTTCCTCCATCGAGCAACCTTGCCGTCGAAAAAGTCGAAGAACAGACCGAAAGGAAGGAAGAAGAGAGCAAGCCAGAGGTTGTCAAAATCCTTGGGGTCACCAAGTGCGTATCGTAGCGAGGAGAAGATGGACATGACACCGCAAGCACCTGTGATGACGCTAGAGTTAGCAAACCACGTTGATTCTATGATGAACGAAGCATGTCGAATGCGACGGTCTTCGTGGTCAAGGTGTACATACCATTCATGAGAGTAATCAAGTCGGCAAGGTGCATGGCGCGCACGAGAGAGAAGTGCCCAACATCTGCGGAAAGAAGAGTCTTTTGCTTGTCAATTGCTATAGAGAAGATCAATGTCAGTCCTGGAAAGCCAAACTCGCTTAATTGTCTCATCCTTGGCTAAAGCTTACCTGGGCTGTTGGAGGATGTGACGTCCTTGGGGATGTTTCCATTGGAGCCCGACATGGTGTTGCTCCTTCTAGACATTCTACGGTAGTTCCAACGACGTTTGGTAAGTGCGAGGTTTGATCGAGTCGGACGATACGAGAGGTCGACCTCAACAGTGTTCTGTACAGGAATACAGGAAACGGACAATCGTAATAAGCTTCGCGGTGGTGGCAGGAAGCGGTGTCGATGGATGCGAAAAGAGAATATTCAAAGTGAGCAAGAATACTAGCGATGCGAAGTTGAGTGGTATTCCACGGTGCAGGACTTGTTGCGCTTCTGATGGTTGTGTGAAGTTGTAGAAGGGAAGAGAGAGCAGGTTTTCCACAAGTGGTTGACGTTGACGTTGAGGAAGACGTCGCGTTTACTGCTTTCGCTGCGGGACGTCCTGCTTTCCTTGCTTGGGTGGATGCCGTCATTGTGGGCGCTAGTGCTGGCCAGCTGCACGTGATGGCAATGGCTTAGACTTACTAGACGCTCAACCGTTCTTGATAAGTCACCAGCCATCAACAGTTCGTCACACGGAAAGGTCAAGGCGGTTGTTCATGGTCACATTCGCATCTACACTGGATGTTTTTAAATCTTTATCTTACGTACATACAGAGTACGTCAGAATGGTACAGAATCTCTAATGTCACCAAGTTGATCAACAGCTCAACAGATTCTGGGGTAGAGTATCACATGTCAGATTCGTATCGTATTCGCACAAGCTCACTCACCGTCAGAACATTAAGCGAAGTTAGATGAAACCTATGAGAGTTAGTACACACACACACACACACACACAACTGTTCTAGACACATGCAGAGAACGGTCAAATTGAGCACAGAGAGATAAAGATTTCAAGACCAGGCATCCCCAGCAGTGTTTATTCAGGTCCCCGTCTGCTCATGGCATACTGTGTATGCGTTACCCCTTGACTCGATATGCAAGCGTGTATGTATGTATGTAGAGTGTGCAGCCTCCTTTCAGAGGCGGTAAACAAAAGAAAACTACCCCAACGCCAGTATCAGATAAAAGTCCCAAACAATGCTTGCGGTATTTGTCTGGCGGCTGTAAGACAGGTAGGGTGTGTCATGACACGCAACTATGTGTGCGTGTCTCTCCCATGCTTCATAATTAACAATTAATGTTTATCCATAGACGGCTGATTGTTATCCTGTAGAATGAGTGCAAAAACCTGGACATCGTGTGGCTTTGCTCCTGCTCATCGCGTGATGAGAACCGAGAATCCATCTAACCATTGGCCACAGGAGCCAGAAACACCACAGATGATGTAGCCTCGAGGAGGTATCAAAGTGTGCCTAGTGACTAGGGTCAGCTAAGTTCGTAGCGACACAATAATAAAACTTACGCATCTCCTCCATGAGCATTTCCATAAACGGGTGACTTGCGACCCAAACTCGTCAGAATTTGTATACCATCGATCCAAAACCCAGATCGCACGACAAAGCCACTGATGTATTCACCACGACGAACATCTACATCTCCTGTTAGATTCTTGTCGGACCATCAATGAGTAAGAACTTACCAAACTCGAAAGTATCTCCCCCTTCTTTGCCGCCCTTCTTTCCAAACAACTGCCTGGAATCATCGTCATAAATGAATTCTATTCCGTCCACGGCTATGCCGTGGTAAATCACCACACGGGATAGAACTCGGTCCTGCTTGACAGCACTCGTAAAGATGGCTTCCGTAGGCTGGCTTCCATCCATCTTAGAGCTACCCAGCTTCTGGCTTCGGAATGCACTCTTCCCGTTCGGTAGCTTAATGAGAGATTCCTTGGAGGTAAATCTTTTGTAATCGTCAATATCAAGTGATCCTCCCCCGTAAGACTTGACTGATATTTTGAGAGATCCCTTTCTTTTCTTCTCAGGCAGTCTGCCTCGCAGCTCGCTCTCGCTGAGCGTGATTTGTCGGGAGGGCGTCCCTTGATCAGTGGGATACTCGATCCAAGCATGGCAGACATCGTCACCGTCTGCATAAATCTCAACAAAGAAAATTCCTGTGGCCGCCATAACAAGTACATTGCCATTTTCGACAGGGAAGGCTTGAACGCTACCGTCAGGGCTCATCGGGGGATCGTTGGGAAGTCGGAAAGACGGGTGAGCTCGGAAACGCAAGCAGTCAAGGCGGTGCCATCCACATTCGTCGGCCTGAAGTGCAAGACCACCTTTGGATTTGGTCCTTGTACAATAGGCCTCTCGAGCTACAAATGTGCGGTTGAGCACCACGTAATCTCGCAGCATTATACCACTCTCCTGGTGGGGGCATCCGAATAGATGGCCCGTCTCATGCATATGAGCGCCAATACCGATATTGGCGGCCTCCCAAGAACTGCCCGCTTCGTTGCAGTCATTAGCCACGTGGTTTGTATCCGTTGGAGTACAGTCAGTGAAAGCAGGCACAACCTCTTCGAAAGTGGAAGGGTAACTGTGAAGGCAGTGAGATCCAAAAATGGCGAGCTGAAGATCACCATCCCCTCCTCCAAGAGCGGCATGGCCGGTCACGGTCTTTGCTGTCGTATCCCAATGAGAATCCAAGAGAAGACAAGACACGTATAGCTTCTGCCCTGGCAGCGGGTTGAAGTATTTCTTGACGGCCTCTGAAGCGATCCCGTACAAAGCGCCCTTATCGGTCGCCTTCTCGTTTTGCTGAGCCTTGTTAAGATCTCGAATCTCAGCAAGGGTCTTGTCGGAGCGAATAATATGCACACGGGCTTCGGAGCGCATGGTGCCGTTCTCTTGGTCACGATAATTGGCCGAGCCTGTTGTCCATTCTTCATCAAAGCGGAAGGCCCGTCGGCCAAGCTTGTTCCGCCACATCTGTTCCGATGTGAAGGCCTGCCACAGGTACGCTGCCATTCTGAACTTCTTCACGGCCATTTCCAGTCCATTTCCTTCCTTTTCGGCTCGGGCGGGCGAGGCATCGAATGTTTCGGGGGAGTCCTTCGCAACGAGTATCGCAAGCTGCAAAGGTGGCGAATTGGTCACAGGTAGCATATGAACAGTAAGGTAGGAAGCATGGATTGGGTTGGAGCTGTTGCTGTTCGCAAGTTTCGGGCTTGAGAACTCGAAGCGCAATCTGTTAGGACCCGGTTGAAGGTACACCAGTGCTTTGAAATGTGAGTTGCAAACGGGCCAGCTGATCGCGGGGAAGTTGTCGTCGAGTCGGCAAACATTAAGGGTGCCATCGAGGGGTTTTTCGGCGGCATTTCCGATTGTGCCATAAACAAGAAGAACTTTTTGATAGACCTGGTGACGGTTAGCACAACACTTCAACTACTTTCTTGAGGGAGTGATGTTTGTTGGAAGTCTTGGCATAGCTTCTGTACCCCTGACGATATGGCTTGCATTTGCATGCGCGCCACAAAGCCCACTAGCCAAAGAAAACAATTCAAAAGCAAAACACCAAGACATACCCATGCATTTTCGGTGATGTTGACCACTCTTGGAGCGTATGGTGACACTGGAAGGGTTTGTCTTCCATTGATAGAAGGCGCACCAAGACCCGACATCCCGGAAACACTGTTGCGGTTGGAGTTGGACGATAGCGGCGGTCGCGTGGGGACGTTGAGTTGGCTCTGGCTCTGGGACATTTGAGACTGTCTACGCTGGAGTTGTTGCTGATCTTTTACCTGCAGATGAAGTGCAGGATCTGACTGGTGATCAATCGAAGGCGGCGTTAAGGAGCCGCTTGAGGGCGATGTTGCTTGACTTGTAGCACCATCACTGGATGTGTCGGTTGATCGATTGGTACGGAAACTGGCCCTCGATCGGCGGCGCAGGTTGTTGAGGAAGGTCGGAGCCATTGTCGCCGGCGACTAGGACCTGCCTTTTCTAAAATGTATCCAGATAATAAGAGTCAAAGTTGTATGACAATTGCGTCGTGGGCAAGCGAGAGACGGATCAAGAAACCAAGGCAAAATCGACAGAAAAGTGACCGAGGGAGAGACCGAGATTGAAGTACCCAAGAAAGCCGTGGTCGACAGAGTAAGAGAGGAGAGCGCTCGTATTGCAAGTCTGGAGGAACGAATGGGGTGGTAGTTTAGATGAATGAGGTGGAGTGAGATCCGATGGGGGGTGTAACAAGAATAAGGTAGAAGCAGTGGAAGCTGTCAGTTGTCGACAGTTGACTTGACGATCGAAGGAAAAGGAAGGAGGAAGGAAAAGCGCAAAATTTTAGAGATGAGAACCTAAGGTAGGTAGTAGGTAATATGAGAGGGAGATGGTCTCTAGAAGGACCAGCAGAGAAATAGCATGGAAATGAATTGAATGGAAATCCACTGTTTCGTTTCCCAGGATCTTCTTCACTGCCTTGGAAAAGATAACCCTCACTCAAATGTCCCCTTCCACCCCTGTTCAACTGACAACGGAGAAGGATGGATATCTTTATTAGGATCCTAGACACTCAACGAGTGATGACAGATGACGGAAGATTGTTCTGTATGGCCGGACTGGACGAAAAGACGGCCACAACCGATCCAAAGACGTGCAAAAAAGTGGCTGGTGCTGCTAATGCACTCGCCGAGAACGAGGATGTGCTCAAGCTTGGAGCCGGGGGATCCGCTGGAATTGGTGGGTTGCAGCGATGCGATTTATTATTGCGGCCGTTGCAAGCGTGCTCAACCAGATGGTGGCTTGCAGTGAGCGAGGATCACTCTGGGGGATGGAAGCCGGAGGACGGAAGACGGCAGTATGGAATGAATGATATGATAACCCTTCGGGAACATTGAGACATTATACTCCTCCAACAGAGTCTGTCTATCTCTGTTGATCAATTCAGGTCGATCCAGTATCAAAATGTCCCAGACTCATCCTTGTAAGCTTATGGGCAGGCCGCAGATGGGCCAAGACTCACAACGTGCCGAGTTGAAAGCGATCGTGATCTGGGTGGGCTTGAGAGAGGCCCAAGTTGCATACAACCACAAGTTCAGTGGAGCTTGATATTGAATTCAACCAGCCGCATACAGCGGGAACTCAGTCTTTGAGATGATCCCAGGAGCTAGAGCAGCTAATGGTAGCTCTCGGCCAGCATCCAATGCCTTCGCTTAGGCACTGGTATTCATCAACTTTACAAGCAATCGTAGCATTCGGCTAATATTCACCGCGCAATCGTTTTGACAATACTGCGTATAATATATCAGAAGTCGCTGCTATTTTGAAACCATCGATCCTCGACTTCGATGTCGTCGAGATAATAGTACAGCCCCTGGCCTTGTCTAAGATAGGCGGGACCATCCCGTGCCGCCGCCGATAGTAGACCATCCAACGAAATTGCGTTTCCATTCAAGATCCCACGTAAATAAACATGCTTGGTCAAGACTGTTGTTGGTAAGTGTTTCCAGGGGATGAGCCAGTTGATTGATGGTGCCATCCATGATTGCGAGGCCATGCAGAAGGTCTTTTTAGCGCCTGCAACTAGACTAGCCAACGCATTATTACACAGAATACTCTATCTCAGAAGTGATTGAATCAATGGGATTCAAGGTTTCTCCCATTCTTGAGGTGGTTGTACCGACCTTGGCCATCTCGTTTCAGATTCGAGGTTAATTCAAGGTCAACCACCATGCCCCCCTCCACTGCAAGACCAATTGAATAATGTCGGTGATACTTTATCTCCTTGCTCAAAACTATCCTGTTTCGAGACCGTAAGCCGATAGATCCCACATCACGGTAAACAGGGAAGTAAATTCTGATCAAGGGAGAGCAACTCTGCAGAAGTGCCCTGCATCCTGACTGTTCAATCATATGCTAATAATGGCGGGCGACTATCAACCGAAAGCAAAAAAAGCCCACGTATGCGAAATGCAGCTTATATGAGGGGAACATTGAACAACATCCATTTTAGGAGGGTGAGCTGATGAATACGATGATGATCAACTGACGACAACGCCTCGTGTTGTGGGGATAACGTGGGAGAACTGGCTTGGTCTCAAAGCAAACGCTGCCTGGATACTGACTTGTGAATTCGTCATTCCAGATTGATATATAAATCCCTTGAGACCTGACGGTAAACAAACTTCGTCGGGGAGCACGACGCCGACTCCGACTCCCATGCAAGCCAAATGAATTGTGCTGTCGGCATTTTCACATTCTCTTTGGACGCTATTGGGAATCAGAGTTCGGATCCCCCGCTTTCGAATTGAGTAACGATGTGTCTCTTGTAAACTCAACTCTCAATGATATTGATCAGTCGACTTAGAGGTGGGGAAAATGGCGTTGGAGCCCACCGGGTACAGATCGTTTCCTCTGATGGACTTTGTGGATATTTACGGAATTTAATTGGTGTTGTCGTATTGGCTGGCTGAATCAACCAACGTGAGTTGTGGAGCTATCCCATAGACGAAATTGTTAAGGAGAGCATGTATGGGTCAGCATAGCGAGACTATGTATGTTAACAGAGCTTTGATGACCTGGCCAATGCATTCAAAATAAAAGTAAACAAAAATGCAAGCCCTTATCCCTATTCATCGCCATAACCCATCTTATCAGTCATCATGACTGAGAAGAGATAACAGACAAGTCGCTGTTGAAGCTCCTCCTACCAACTTACTAGAGGTTCGAGCAAATCGTTGCTGAATACAATGGCCAAGCACGTGGTTCATTCAAAAGCGAAAACAGGGAAGATTCTAGAGAAAATAACAAAGTAGTATCATCAGTCAAGCAACTCCTTTTCAAGCAGTCGGAGGAATCAAGATATAGGGCCAAGCTTATACTCCGTCAGCCGGTCCCTTGCATGCAGTTATTGACCAAGTTTAGTCAGGCCTCGGACAATCTGCAGCCAATCAAACCGAGCAATGGACTACAGAACAAAGGAGTTTGTTCAGCCTGGACAAAGGCTGACGCCAGTATACTAAGTCAACTGGCATTGTATACACTTGACAGATGTAGAGAGACCATAGCTTGTGTTGGCCTGATCTGTTTAAGGGGTCTGCATTTCGCTTGTCATGAAAAGCCTATCAAAAGGCATTGCCGAGTCTATAGCCTTTCTCACATCCCATGAACTACTCAAACCTGAGGCTGGCTGAAGCCTCTGACAGTGAGAGCTGGGAAACGCTAAATGGGTCCAATTGCTGGCCCAGCAGCGTCAGATCGAGTGCGAAAGGGTCAATTTGAAGCATCTGATTGGCTCATGTTCGTGTGCAAAGTGCATGCATAAATACTTTTTGCTAAAGTACCCAAGTACCTGGTACAAGTCTAATTAAAACTTCCAGGGCAGATCGAGTCTAGCGAGCAAACTCGGGTTTCGTTTCCAGAGGAATGTGACCAAATTTACTTGGTGACCCCAGCGACCAGCTACTGAAAAGAGTTCCTTGACGTCTTGGATCTCATGTTAATGATCTTATCAGGCGATGGTGCAAGTTGACAGTCTCCCTTTTTTTCAGTCATTGGCAGATGAGTACTAATCAAGTGCAGATACAAATGTAAAGAAAAAGAGCCATCATTGTATTACCACAATACCTATCTTAGCCCAACAAAGATGGTATCTCCAAGACCTCGAGTCTGTGGACGAAGAAGCCAAACTTAGAACCTAGAGTTCCCTAATGGAAAGTTTCCAGCTCAATTCAGCTTCTCCTGTCCTGGGCTGTATGTGAGTCGTTACCCGGCCGTACCTTGTCCGCTTACACCAATTCAGGGCCAAAGTACCCAGTACCTAATGACGGGCAACTGCAGTGTTAGTGCGTGCCACTAAGACCAGGTTAGCAGGCTCCAGCTCATAAGGTACAGTACTCAACTGTAGTTAACGGTCCCTCGAGATTGCGTTTGCTTGCTCTGTTCTCTCCAACTTAACTTTGGATTCTTCATTCACGCACCCAAACCACTTCAACCACCACTCACCACAATTCACTCCTTGACCATTACGACTCGATTTCTTGCCATTCGACACACAAACCTTTACCAAAGTATCAACCAATATTGTTTTTCCCACTTTACACAACACATCGATCGATTCGACTTCTTCATTCAACTTTCACGGCGGTTGCCCCTAGCAGCAGAGCAGAGTAGAGCACAAGTGCGAGTGTTGAAGCATCATGTCTTCGCCGTGGAAGAAACAGCCAGAAGATGTCGTCGACAGTGTACTCAAGCGTGCAGAAGTGAGCAAAGTGAGTAACTTGATCCATTGACTTTTTACTAGCAAAAATTCAATCTGTTGTTTTTAACTCCTGATGAGGCAAGCACTGACTGACATTTCCACTCTTTAAGATTGCACGACGTTTGCAAAACCGCCTCGCCCTCGCCAAATTCAAAACGAAGCATGGCTGGGAAGACCTCACACTCGACTCCATCGAGCCGAAAATCGAAGAGGAGATGCGAAGAAAACGTTTGACCGAACCTACAGATGTCCTCTCCGACTCATCATCAAGCGCATCCGATCTCCCATATCCGTCCCGAGCCCTCATGAGCTCTCCCCTCAAAGCGCCCCTGTTCTCCGATGCGGTAGGCTCCAGCAACGGCAGCACGGGACACCGCAAGCGCACATACCTCGCCTCCTTTCACGATGTATCATCGAGCCCTAGCAAACGATTCCGACTTTCCCCTACGGCACACAAGTCCTTTGGCAGCAATGGTGTATGGAAGAACTCGCATCAACTAACACGATCTTCCCCCCTCAAGCCCAGGCGGCAGCAACACTTTACTACCTCGGGTGGACCCGATGTCTCCTTTTTCCAGCAGCGTCTGATGAGTCGTGAGCTGACATCACCCAATTTTGCTGCACCTTCCGATGACGATGACGATCTTTTGCCCATCCACTCATTCAATACTACCAATATCCGCTCGTCTCCTCCACGCACACCACCTATGCGTACCAGGTCTGTTAGCAAGCGGAACAAGGGCGAGAACGGTGTAGGGACCAATGGCAAAACTGGTGAGGAGGGAGCTGATTTACTTCTCTACCTCGCTGCTTCGCCATCACCAGCTGTCAGAACTTCAACTCAAACACGAATGGAGCCCCCATCAACCCCTCCCCAGAAAAACAAGCAGATGGATCTGCCTTCCTCAATGATGATGACGCCTGGTGGGGGTAACCTCTTCCCAACCACCCCCAGCCAAGCTTTCGACTTTGCCGAATTTGTCAATATCACACCCAGCCCAGCACAAAAGCCCTTCAAGACACCAATCTCAATCACGGCAACTAGGACACCTGTGAGCGGTACTCAAAGGCGGCTCACGTTCGACTGAGCGTCTGAATGAAGGGTTGGGGAAACGGTGTGATTATGATCCGAGTTCTTTGTGGACATGATACCATGACAGCACTTGTTGTGACACTCACGCATGTACTTTTTTTTCACTATTTGGAATTGGCCTCGATTATCCGTGGCGTACAGTAGCACCACTGTACATGTCTGGGTTTCCCATTATTTGCGACGGCGTTATAGAATAAATGGCAATGGCATGAAAGAAGGTCTTTCAAGGGAGGTTATTGAAGACCACGTCTCGTACCAAGCGAGACCAGGAGGACAGTTTTTTTTTATCCAGCGGCTGAAATCCTTTATCTTGTCTGAGGTCAAGAATTGTTAAAACAGATTACATTATGGGCCGGTTCAGGAGAATAGGGGGCACTTCCTGGATGGATTGATGGAACGGCTTATGGACAATGTGACTATCATCTTATTTTACTACTAGTACCTACCTACTTAACTATTTCGAGTTCAAAATTCACATTATTACCGAGTCGTTCTTGAGAAGGCTGATCATACATACGACTGCAAATGCCTGCACGTGGAACGAAAACGAGTGAGGGAAAAACCCTTCTCCTCCACGCAAGGGTAGGTAGGTCGTCGCATAAGACCCCGTGTCCAAGCGCGCGTGCGACGGGCAATTTACGCGCGAAAGAGCTGGCGCGTAGCTACGTCGTGTCTGTTTCGCGCCTCCGAAACCCCCGTTTTTGACCATCTAGAGCCAATCACTAGACGAAATGCCACAAGTCTAAGTTTTGAGTCTGATGTCATGAACTCCTGAGGGATGGGAAAAGCGTGTTATTTGGTTGGATGGACGGCATCATGTGGATTGAAGAGGGGTTTGACAGTACTTTTGAGACATGTACTCGATCAGAGGCTCAATAATGGCTGCCAAAACCTGCCAGAAGTGGAAGCACCACGTATTTGATGCATTACTACTCCGTAACACAGTTTAACACTACGGAGTACACTACGCCGATATCATAACCATACAATGTCAATCAAGAGTGCCTTCACAACCACGCGCATAGTCACAATGATACGAACAGCACATTGTATTAATAGTGGTATAAAACTAAAGTCTCGGCGGAGCATAGCAAGCTTTTCCCATTTTGACTCTAGCGACACCTCACGCAGTGTGCGCTCTTCTAAAGCAAAAGAAGGAGAAAAGCCTAGTTCTGTGGTATCATAAGCATAAACGCTGACATCAAACATCAACACCATCTATCCATCTTCTATTTTAAACTCCCCCTCAAGTCTTGCAGCGAGCCAATGAGTATCCCAGGAGAACCACTATGTTGGTCCTCCGCCGAGAGGAACGAAGTGAATTCCGTGTCCCTGCCATGAGGGTTCACATCGCCTGGCCGGTTTGTCGTCTCGGGATATGGCCGTCGCTCTCACTTCGGGAGTGTCGAGGGGAAGGGGGAAAGTCAGATCCATCGTATCGGCCATAGATACTGGGTACACGTGGTTGAGGGGGCACAGGAGGCCACTCGCTAACGTCGCTCACTCCACTGGTATATCGTGAAGTGTAACTCTCAGCCCGAGAGTGCCTGACGGTCTGGCGGTTTGTGCTATAGAAGGAGCTGGCGGCAGTATAGCGTGGCATATTTTGAATGTGTCCCATGCTAGACATGTGTCGGCCATCGAGCTCCAAGTCGAAGGGGTTCGAGTGAACGTTGCCGCGCCAAACTTCCTGTGGCCTTAGCCTCACGCCGTCACCCGTCGATTGAGGTGTAAGGTTCCGCGACATGGTCGGGCCTTGCCTCTGATCGACTGGCTCTCTATAGGCCATCGGTGGCGGTTGCATGGGGTCGGGAGACAAGCTGGAACTCTCGTCGGCAAACGGGTTATCCAAAGAATGAGGCCGGGCAGGGGCAAGTGGGGGTGGCACAAGAGAACCGTGAGGCAGGACGCTACCGCGACCATATGAGTCCCCACGAGACGCTGCAGTAATGTTGTTGGCATCAGAGAAAGGGTTGGGGCTGGGAGTCCGTCTTCCATCATGACCATCGTCAGGCACGGGGGGGGCTGCTGCCAGATCCGCGACGCTTGACTCTTCAATAAGTCGTGACCACCATCCCTGTTGCCCAGGAGCTGCACTCCCTCGGCTAGGGGCGCGGTTTGTAGACGCGCTGTGGCTTTCGGCGCCGAACTGAGAGTTTCCTCGGCTCATGTCGACATGAGAAGAGCTCATGGACTGTCGGAATCGTTGACCAATCTTCTTAGCATTGGCGCTCATCGCGGCAGCAACCTTGACAGAGCGAGGCGTTGGGCCGAGCGAATTATTGTCGATTTCGTACTTCTCCTTACCAGATCCGCCTTGAGGAAAATCGAGTGGGGTGAGAAGAGTGCTCCTTCGACGCTGCTGTCTCCGTCTCCTGATGAGCCAAAAGATGATGAGTGCCAGGAAAGACAATCCCATGATGGAACCGACAATACTGCCTACAACGACTGGAGTTGGGCCTGCATTGTCAGATTCCTTTTTGACAGCTGAATCGGGACTTTCGGTCTTCGAGGCATGGTCGCTTCCAGCAGTAGCACCGAGGCCAATGGTCGTAAGGCCTCCGTCGGCTAGAGTCGCTGTACTAAGTGCTGGCGCAGCCCCGTCAGCGCTCGTCTCACCGTCATCGAAAACGAAACTATCAGATGCTTCAGTAGTCTCAGTAGCGGAGGAAGCAGCTCTAGTTCCAGATCGGGTTTGAAGGGTCGTTGACCGAGATGGGGGACCAGTGAAGGTGAAGGATGCAGTATCAAAAAGGAGCACCTCCGAAGTAGACGTCGAAGACGAGGACAAGGACGATGATGATGAAGACTCAGTCTCGATTATGAGTCGAGCATTTTCTGGAGTATCCTTAGGCGCCTGAACAGGAGTCGTTACAGGGTCTGGTCCATCGATTAATCGGGCATCCTGTGGTGTCTCCTGAGATGACGGCGGGGTCGTTGTCTGGACGGGTGTTGTTACCGGATCCGGTCCATCTGTCAATCGAGCATCTTCTGGTGTTCCTTTGGGCAGCTCTTGAGTGGTCGGCTGAACAGGTGTCGGTACCGGTTCAGGGCCATTAACCACTGGAGGTTCTTGGGGTGTTTCCTGTGGGGGTGGTTGAGAAGTTGGCTGAGCAATCGGCTCGATGGGGACTGTCGTCGTCTCGTTCACATTTGCGTCACTAGTTTCAGGCGCTGCCTCTCCTCCAGCTGCAGGTACAGTCGTTGGAACGGGCTCGACCTCTTGCGTTGTAGGTACAATCAATGATGCAAACACTGGGGTATCTACAGCAGGATCCGCTGCAGGAACAGATGTCAGGTCTGCAGCAGGCACAGTTGAAGCCGGCGGCATTTCAACGCTGTCGGTGTTCTCTGTAGCGTTGGCTGGGACATGGTATGTAACCACGATGGTGGTAGGCTCGGGGATGACCACATAACGAGACTCCATCTTCGTCTGAGTGATCACCACTGGTGCTCGTTCTTCGAGCGAGTGTGTATGGTTGGTATCGATTTCTCGTGGTATGCCGGCATACTGTCTTTCGAATAAAAAGTTGAACAAAGCCCGTGTTCGGAGGGCTAACATCCTCGACCAGAAACGTTCGCGATGCCAGTCGCTGTTAGTGAGAGCTGGAGTCGGAGCTTGGCCCGACTGTGAACAGAGGTAAAAAGTCTGATAAATGAGCAAAAGCTTAACTTAGGGCCCCTGTGGCCATCTACTTTCTGACAATATGCATGTAGATGGATGACCCAGTCACCTTGCCAATGTAATGAAGGTAAGAGAATGTAGATATCACGGCCAACTACCGTGATGAGAAACGAGAATGAGTGAATAATGGTACGACAAGAGAATGTAGAGGGCGCAAAACAAGGAAAGACACCAAGAGAAACAGAAACAGAGAAGGAAAGGAAGACAAGACAGAAAGTGTGAGAGAGAATGAAACGACAATATGATTGCCCCGAGTGGGAGGGTGGTCAACCTAACATCAAGGTACCGAGCCGACCTACCATGAACTAACTCCCTTTACCCTTTACTAGCGTTTTAGCTGTTTCCAGATACTACAACTGACATTATACATCAGTTCAAGTACGGACCACGGTAGACATGGGTTCGTCGTAGCTAGGAGCAATACCCTGTCCTGCGACAGATCTGAAGCACGACAGCCTCCCCACGCTGTCTGAGCTTCACTACCTACCTACCTACCTACCTACCTGACTAGTCAGGCCCTACCGTCCTAGCCAGTCCAGTCTAGTATCCGAGGAGCAAACAAAAGATCCGATGGGAGCAACATAAACAAGGTTGATATTCCAGACTTCTGGGACGCCTTGGCTCTCTTGGCTTGCGTGGACTTGTGTGATGTTTGCATTTGCGTTTGTCACGAGGTTCCAGGCGGGTGTTTCCCCGTCGGCATGGCATCCAAAGCTCCAAGTAGAGTGGAAGTTGGTCGGAATAATTAGAAGGATGTCACCCACATGCGGCATCATTCCGTTTGTTGTTGTTTTTTTGCTTCTTTTTGTTTCTGTTTCTGGGTCGCTTTGACGCCGTAATCAAAAAACGGTCTCGGCAACGTGGGCGACTTCGCATCGCGATCGTGTTGATGCATAGTGCGCGTATAATACAGAATGTTGTTGATGGAAAAAGAAGTCCCGAAGCGGATTTAGGTGAGTGAGCCTCAGCAAGGAGATGAATTTCAGGTGGGGATTGATCCAGATTCCAGCCCCGAGTCTGGCCTGGGCCTGTTCAATCATCTTGGCAGGAGTAGTGAGGTAGGTACCTAATGTAAGTAAAAGTTGGGTTATTCTGGTTAGCGCCCGAGCGCTGCTAATACCTGTACCTGGCCACCTGAGACACCTGAACATCCACCACCGTTTCTCCCTGTGGCGCCGTGGCCCTGCCCGTTGTGGCCCTTCCCGCCAGCAAACGCGCCGAGCCCGGTACATCACACCTAAAGTTCGCCAAAGGCCCCGCTGCCAGAACGTGGAAGACAAGGCATGGCAAAATATCCCACGAAACAAAGCTCACTCTAGAACAAAATGAGGGACAGGACAGACCCGACTGCAAATTTCATCCTCCTGAGGATTGTTTGGCTAGCAGCTCATCAGTGAACGTGCATAGTATTTGCACAACGTACCTGAAAGGTGTCTCCTTCGGGATGATACCGGCATTAGTTCCAACGTAATAACAGACGGCATATTTATCACCACCGCTACCACACACAAACAGTCTCTCAACACCATCACACACAGGAAACCAAACAAATCAGCCCAGCGGCTCAGCATTAGGAAACACGGCAGGGTTGGATCACCAGACAGATTAGGCTCGTAAGCAGAAAATAGCTGGTTCAATCCTTCTTCATGCACCATCAATCCCATGTGCCATCCACGTTGAATACTACGTACTAGTATGTTGCACTTCAAACCTCCCTCTTCAAGTATCCTTGCTTGGATCAGTTCATCCGCTCAGGCATCCCTTGCCTTACCGCTCTATACCCATGTTCCGGGCCACAACCGCCCACATCCCTGATTTCCTTCGCCTCGAGCCTGACTCGGACTGTCACCGTTTCTCGTACTTAAAATCTGTCTGTGCCTCTGTTAGCGACGCCTTTCGATTACCGAAATAGAACATCTGTCCGTAATGTCGAATTCCGCTGAGTCACCAGCATGGGACGGAATAAAGTTGATGGCGTGCGAAGACGCTAAAGCTTTTGATACCGTAACCTTAAACATGGAGATCATCCTTCATTCCAGGGACGGTCTTGAGAAAGAATTGTGAGCTTTACCAGTCTATTGGGAGTCTACCAGGTTGTCGGGTAAGTTGTTGAGCCGAATGGGACTATAACGAGAGTTTCGGTATGAACACATCCTCAAGAGCTCTATCAAACTTTTTTATGCTTCCTTTATGAGATTAGACGATGATTTAAGAACGTTATGAAACACCAGGTTTGAGCTTATGATTAGACTTAACTAATTAACACTACTTTTGAACAATATATGGTTAAAGCTTTATGTGATCTTCTGGAGCGAGAACACTGTCCAGTTGTGTGAAACGTTGGAAGACGAACTTCTTATCTTGTTTTCACCATTAAACATGAATACATAATCTGAGAAGATCACAAACTCTGGCTTATAAGTTCGCAAAGTAGTATATAGAATTCTTTCTTGACTCGCCCATTGGAGCTGCTCTTTTGAGACTCAGCTTTGAGAAGAATATCGAGTGTGTTGAATTACCTAGTCAACTAGGTGGATCATATATTATAGTCTAGGGTATGTTGGCTCATGATGTGTTCATCATTCTAAGGTTTTTGAGACGAACGTTGAACAAGTGGATAAAGACTTTCAATAGAGTTAGGAAACGATGGCTATTCTGCCAGCTTCTTCTTGAAAGCATACTGGTAGGACCTGGATGTTTATTGTTGAAACAAGGAGCAATTAAGGTTATGAAACACCTCATATCGTACCCTTCCATTATTTCATCGGATTATGTCCTACATAAAATAAAGTAAAGGTTTGTAGCACCAAGACAATTCTAGCACTTCCATTGGCGTTCCTTGACCAGATTAGGAAGTGACATGAAACAACTTCTCAAATGCTCACTCGCTCTCTTCGTGTCTCTCAAACATCTATCACCAATGAGACCGACCGGTCTTGCATGAAGCATGAATTCACATGGTGATGCATTGAAGACAGTCGACAGCTGACCAATCGCGGAAACAGGGGTCCATTTGCCGGGTAAAGACGGTGGTGGCCAGGCACCACCAACCAACCAACTCACTCATATCATGGATCAAGAACATCGACACGACCTCCTACCTACCTACCTTACCTTACCTACCTAAACAAGACAACCAACTGATGTCCTCTTCTCATATCGCTTCAGCAGGAGATAATTAGTCCCTTAGAAGGTAGAGCCTGTGGTTGGCTCTCTTGTTAAGATAACCCCGCGGCTGCTCCCGCATGGACCGAGCCGATCTTGGCACTGACCAACACTTTGCTCGACTCAATCTCAGTCAGTCACCGAAACTTTGAAGGCTTCGTCTTGCAACGCACTTTGTCCTTTCCACGCCAGAGGCTCAATTATATCGTCTGGCCGAGTCTTTGTCAGGCCGTTCTTGTCTTGTTGTTTGTTTCATAGCTGTTGGCTAGTAGCGTATCGCTTTTGGGTCTCTCTTGAAATGTCTTATCGTTTTAGTTATTCTCCATCCCATCAGTTCATCATCTCCGTCAGCTTCCCTCCATCGATTATCAAGCTGTCTTGAGGCCCTCACTCAGCTTCTGCGTACCCAATCAACATCTAGCTACTGTACGTACTCTGTGCTATGTCGCACCTCGCTGGACCCAAGCTGACGTCGTCTTCTCTTTAGCATAGCACCCCATAGCATCCATAGCTACCTAGCTTTCATTCATCCATAGCCTAAGCATTCTATCTCGCGGTACCTTACATTATTAGTTGCGCCACCTACAAGCGCTTCAGCCATGTTTGGAAACTTCACCTCCTTCGGTAAGCTAGTCTTCTCTCTATCCGCCTCCCATCACACTTGAACCTCATCCTTCCCGACCTTAGCCATCGTGATCCTCATGAACATCTGATCCTCACAAAACACCTCAATAACCCCCTCACTTCGTTTCCCTGTCTATGTCGCTTGCCCCTCCCCCACAATTCTGTTACCTTGCTACTTGCCTCTCCACCTTGATAGACCCTTGCTAAACTCAGTCTTCTTCAGCCGGCATTCCGGCCAAGAGCAAGGTTGATCCTAAGGACGTGCCGCCTCCTACGCCAGTTACCCTCCCTCGCTTCCAACCTTTTGCTCACGACGACGATACCATTGATGAATCGTCTGCACTATCTGCTCTTCTCCGTAACACTGGAAGATCAACTGCCGCTCTCGGTCCTTCGGGTTTCTCTGCCATTGGTCTTAATCTGCACCTCGATGCAGAGCCCAAAGACCTGATACCTGAACCTGCATTGATCCCGGATTTCGAAAGTTGGGACAAACTGTCGTCAGACGAAGGCCAAGAGAAGAATCAGTCCACTCGTTACCTCCTAAGAAATGGCAACCTGTCTCCTGGCTGCCATGTTTACCTCGAACGCAAGAAGGAATTGTCGAATGTCAATGAAGACGCTTTTCGAACAGTCAGAAGGCTTCCAGCCCCTAAAGGAAAGACACAGGCTCGTTTAGGGAATGCCTATGAGTTTTTCCGTTGCCTTGAAGCCTTTACCTCTTTTTGGGATGACCCAACTCGGCCATTACCACTTCCCCCTTCCCCTGAGGCTTCTCCCGAAGTTACTTCGTCTGGTGATGTCGCGAACTCGGGGGACGCAAATCCTGCGAGTCCCAAGCCGGATGAGAGTGCAAACTTCTTCAGAACCAGCGCTGGATCATCTATGCCACTCGAATATCGCAATAACCTGATAACATCATTCATCAAACTTGTTGCTTATGACTTTGGGTGCAACGTCTCGCCTTCTCGAACCGAGCCACGACTTCATTTCAGTTCACCCCTAGGATCTGGTTCTCGCAAATCTTTTTGCCCCTCTGGCTGCCTTTTCATATTTCAAAGTCCCACAACCCGTGAAGCCGCTCGTGC